ATAATCCAATTAAGAGACCTCAGGCCCGGGAGATTTGAGCCAAAGTCCTATGTCTCCACTCCCAAGCTATGGGTCCTGTGACTGGGATGTTGCCTCTCCAAGACTCAGACTCTGCTACAGTGAACATGGTCTCATTATGTTATGATCAAATGGACAACAATAAGCATTGAGTGGGTGGAAAGATTATAAAGCATGTCCTGAGATAGGATTCTTTCTCATGGCCTATGCTCATGCTTTTTTTTTTTACAATTACATTTATTTACCTTGAGACAGGGCCTCACTGTGTAGCTCTGGCTCTCCTGGAGCTCACCATGTGGACCAGGAGCTCGCAGAGATATGCCTGCCTCTCTGTGTTGTGGGATTGAAGCCATGCACCATTATTTACTAATTATTTATTAATATTGTTAGTATTACTTGCAGTGCCAAGGCATTGCGTGTGCTAGGCAAGTGCTCTACCACTGAGCCTCATCCCAGCCCCTATTTTCATTATTCTACTATGGAAACACATAACATGAAATATGTCATTTTAACCATGCTGATCCAGAGTGGCACTAATTATATCACAATGTTGTATGGCTATGGCCGCCATCTGCTTTGTAAATTTTCCTGTCAACCTGTGGTACTTTGTTTTGAAATTGCCTCATGGTACTTGCCACATGCTCCTTGCTCTCTCCTCTCTCATGGGACCAAGCCTACCAATGGCCACCCACCACCCTTGGGCCTGTTCTGCGTTATAGTAGACTACAACTTTTCTGTTCTCCAGGGTCTTAAACCTTTTTTCTCCCATTCCCTGTAAACTAAGAGTACAAAACCGGGGGGACCGAGAGGAAGGCCATGAAAGACTGCCCATAACCAGATGATTAGCATATAGAAAGACTTGCATAATGGCACAAGGGTTCCCTGAATCCAAAGCAGAAAGTGGCCTTGAGAGAAGGAAGTTTGTTCCTTCCTCGAATCAGGTATGACCTGTGCATCTGGGTCCTGCCTGGCACTAGGGGAAATGGAGTTCAGCCTGCCAATGCTCCCTTATACTCAGGAATCACCTGGGAGCAGCTTGGCATAAAGGTCTCAATGAAATCATGGCCAACCGCTAAGCATCATAGCATATGAGGGCAGAATCGCCGTGCCCAGCAGCAGAGTCAGCTGCACCAGCTGTATGAAGGCATGGCTGGCTGCCTGGGGAATAGTAAAGAGGCTGGAACGCCAGGGCAGGGCTCCAAGGCCAATCTGAGTAAGATCTGACTGAACTTGGAGCACTTGGCAAGGCCAAGACCTCAGTTTGATGGGATACAGGCTCAGGCCTGGGACTCAGGCCTGACAGTCTCTCTGGGGACAGTTTCGTCGGACAGCGCTGCATCGAGCTTCCCTGGAGGGTCACATGGAGATATTGCAGAAACTCCTGGAGAATGGGGCCACTGTGGACTTCCAGGATCGGGTGAGAGGGCAGGTGTTGGGTGGGAGGTTAGCAGTAGACCTAGTATCAGTAGAATTCTACTTCCTGTCAGATCTGCCAGTAGGGGCAGGCCCTACCTCTGTGTGTTCTGTGACATTGTGTAAGCCCCAACTCCCCCGTGAGTTGCCTCTGTGACTCTCACTTGGACCTGGGTTGTCTGTCCTACTCTCTGTTGCTTTCTTTTTCTGTGCCTTGCCTTCTTGGCTTCGTTCCTTTTCCCAGAGGCCTTTCTTCCCCACAGTTCTGCCATTAAGTGTCACCCATCCCTTCTAGCTGGACTGCACAGCCATGCACTGGGCCTGCCGTGGAGGCCACCTGGAGGTGGTGAAACTCCTGCAAAGCCGAGGAGCCAACACCAACCTGAGAGACAAGGTGAAGCTGCCTTGCTCGGCGCAGTACACATTGGGGTGCTGCAGGGAGGGAAGGGGACAGCAAATGGCCAATAAGCGCGAGTGACCCGTAAGCAGTAGACTAGCCTGGTTTCTAGAGTGGCTGTGGAGAGTCTTTGGGTCCTTCAGGGAGCTTGGGAACAAGTGCTGAGAGGAGAGAAAAACAAAAGACCCACTGTCATGGAGGTATGGTCCACGGGAACGTTGTAGGATTTGTATGTCCCTGCCATCCTTCATCATCCACTCCGCCCATCCACCAATTTATTCATTAACTTACGAATCTATCATCCTTCCATCCGCCCATTTCTTTACATGCAACCCTGACCTCTGAGACACTGTTCTTCAACTGTAAAACTTGTGGGTTCTTACGTAGAGTAGGAGGGGAATGTTTGTAAATAAATTACTTTTTTCCCATATCACAGCCTTCCCTCAATTAATGGCATCTGATATAATTATTAAAAAGAAGCTGGGCATGGTAGCTTTTAATTCCAGTACTCAGGAGGCAGAGGCAGGAGGATTTCTAAGTAAGCCTGGTCTGCACTGTGAGATTTTGTCTCATTAAAAAAAAGAATGGGTGGGGTTGGGGGGTGGTAGTGGTGGTGATGATGATTCAGTAGTAGCATCCTTGCTTAGCATATGCAAGACTGTGGGCTCAATCCTCAGCATCCCAATGAATAATTTAGTCAATTAATTAAAAAAGAACCTTTACAATCTCCGCACTCGGGAGACAGAGGCAGGAGAATTGAGAGTTTGTAGGCACCCGGGCTACACAGTGAGACCCTATCTGAAGAATAGTAGAGGGGTGGACAGTAGTAGCTCACTGCTAGGCAAGAGGGGAACCACGATAGGCTAGGAGCAGGTGGTACTTAAAGCTGTGTAAGTAGACCACTGGGAATGATAGTGGCTGCACCATGGCCTCCTGTCCAAGGCTCTGGCCTTGGCACTTACACTTGGAAGTACGAATAAGCTAGAGATAAGATAGGTTCCCTACCCCAGAACACCATATTCCAGGCCCATGCGCCAACTGCCCTGCTTCCTCCCCCCACACACAGCTCCTGAGCACTCCCCTGCATGTGGCTGTCCGTACTGGACACGTGGAGATTGTGGAACACTTTCTTTCCCTGGGCTTGGATATCAATGCCAAAGACAGGGTGAGTGCTTGCTTCCTCCCCTGCTCAGCTATCATGGGTGTTAGGGCAGCTCCCAGGCTGCCATGGGTGAGTAGCCCTTCCCAACAGGACCCTAGGGCTGCCGCTTCTGAGCAATGCCCATCGCTTATAACCCTACTCACCCACTGACCCTATGGTCATGCTGTGTGCTACCCCACCTCTAGGAAGGGGACAGTGCCCTACACGACGCAGTGAGACTCAACCGCTACAAAATCATCAAACTGCTGCTCCTGCATGGGGCTGACATGATGGCTAAGAACCTGGTGAGTTTATTTCTCCGGCTTGGTGGTAGGGTGAGCACTTAGAGCTGCGGCTGCACAGTGGATGGTCTGCAGAGGCAATGGGACAGTCACAGCCCAGGTACACATTGTCATTGGCTCTTGGCCATGCCGCCCTAATCACCTACCTCCCCAGATCTCTCTGTCAAGGACCAGACCACAAGTTTGGAGAAACAGTAGGAGAGGTGGCGAGAGGACTTTGCCAAGGTCCCCATATAGGGCAGAGGGGCCTCCAGTGTTGAGGCCCAATCATGGAGGTCCAGCTGGAAGAGAATCAAAGGCCTGGGTTGGTGTGACCATTCTAGGACATCATGTGGTTACGTGGTGGGCCTCAGGTTTTCCAACAATGGATGTCCTCTGATCCAAGCCTATCTTTTGGTTCACAGAACAATCACAAAAGAGGGGCATAGCAAGGTTCTTCTGGCACAAGAAAGGCTAAGAGACACTGAGGAAAGCAAGGAGCATGTGGAGAAGGTGTGGGTGGTCACAGCTTCAGCAAGCACTGTGGGCATTGGTGCTGGGCAATTCACAATGAAGAGACTTTCCTGTACATTGTAGGAGGGTTATGCAGCATCACCGCAGGCCTCTGCCCACTAGATACCAGTAGCACCCACAACCTCTAGTTGTGAAATGCAAGATGTCTTTACCCCTGACCGAGAGCAGTTGTTGGTGGGCAGCTGAAGCCTGAATAGTCTCCTTTTTTTTTTTTTTTTTTTTTTTTTCCAGGCAGGAAAGACCCCCACGGACCTTGTCCAGCTATGGCAAGCAGACACCCTTCATGCCCTGGAGCATCCTGAACCAGAATCAGAACAGAACGGACTGGAGAGGCCTGGAAGTGGGCGTGAGACCCCCCAGCCTGTACAAGCCCAGTAAATACCTACCCCCAGCTGGGCGGGGTATTATGAGCTGCCTGCAGCCAGTCTGGCAGGAACACCCACAGACTCAACACAATAAAGTGCTGTCTTTGCTATTTGTGATGTTTGGGTCCATTTGTGCTCACGTAGGAAGACTGGATGTGAACTTGGGAACCAGGGGAATGACTCCGGAGTTAGGCTGTTTCCCTACTCTGGTCTGGCCTTGCTTTGTCCACATCATCCTACTTTTCTTCCCTAATGCCTAGGGCCAGGATTGTGATATATTATTCCACTTTGGTATACCGTCCTCTGTCCACCCCCCCTCTCCCCCCCATCCCCAAGACTAGTCTATGGAGGTATGTGTCTGTGTGTGTCCTACCGGAGGGATAACACAGCTCCGGCCAGGCAGAACAGGCAGAAGACTGGTAGAAAGTGGGCGTGGTTTTTCACAGCTGCTTTTTGAGCAGCGGGTTACTGTGGGGCGGAGCCAGGTGAGCTTAGCCGCCAATCACTGACAGGCTCAGACCAGCCTGAGAGGGGACGGGGGGGGGGGGGGGTGTGGGGGGGACAGAGAGAGAGAGAGAGAGAGAGAGAGAGAGAGAGAGAGAGAGAGAGAGAGAGAGAGAGAGAGAGAGAGAGAGAGAGAGAGAGAGAGAGAGAGAGAGAGAGAGAGAGAGAGAGAGAGCGCACACGCTAGGGTGGGGGTGGCTCCAAACTTTGGGGCTATCGGAAGAGGGCCCAAGTACTGTGTAATCCCCAGGAGCCAGCTCTCTTTCCAGCCTGAGTTGTGGCATTTCTCTGAGCAGCCAAGAAGGCCTGCCTGGAGCTTCTAGGCCCGCCCTTAGGCTGCACTCCCCCGTGTCCACAGGTTGTGGCTTGAGGACACAGGTTTTTAACTAGGTCCGTTGATCATTAACAGTGGGAGAAGGAGTCCAAACTCAGCTCCCCTGTGGCCGTAGACAGCTGGGCCTCAGCCCTCCTGCAGAAATGCTAGGCCCCCAGATGTGGGCCTCCATGAGGCAGGGGTTGAGCAGGAGCTTGTCTAGGAATATGAAAGGGAAGAAGATAGACATTGCCGGCATCTACCCACCCGTGACCACCCCGTTCACCGCCACCGCAGAAGTAGACTATGGAAAACTGGAAGAGAACCTGAATAAACTGGGCACTTTCCCCTTCCGAGGTAAGAGGGCAGTTGAGGAGCCAGATCCAGGGAGGGGGGCACAGGTCTGACACTGTGGACGGAGCGTCACCTGCCTTTGATTCCCCAGCTGTGGAGGGCTGAGGCACCTTAGCTCCCGGGGTTTTTGTGGGGATCACGTGGGACAGTGAATGAGGACAGGCTAAGACCTGATTTCCTTAAAGTATGACAATTCTTAGCTTCAGAGAACACTTCAGTTTAAGGATCAAGAACACTCTAGTGCAGGGGCTACCGTGTTTCTGCCATCCGGGAGTTCACAGGGACTTCCAGAATTATCTCTGGACCTTCCTTTTACCTTCCTAACTCCCCCAACCAGCATGATCCCCCAACCAGCATGATGTACCCTGGACAGTTTGGGGGAGATTTGCTTTATGAGTTCCTGGTGGTGTTTGATTCCTCCATTCAGCGCATACCAGAAAGTTGGGGCCTATGGGAGGAAGAGCCCAGTGTACAAAACTCCTGCTCTGGCTATCATAGCGACTATTACAGCCCCTCTGTAATCCAGTTTCCTCTCTTGAGAACAGGAACTAAGTCCTCAGGCTCTCAGGCATGGAGCGCAACATAATTTCCCCAAGCTGGTCAACCGTGCAGCTGGCATAGAGGACATAGAGTCAGGGTTCTAGTCATGGCTCCAGCATGCAGCCAAAACATTAAATCTGTTTCTCTTGCTTTCTGGAATAGACTACGCAGTCCAAGGGGCAGATGAAGACAGCTGTCACATGCTACTTTGTATCAGTGTGGACAGCATGTCCTCTAAAGAGGAGATGGGAGCCTGGCCTTGGTGCTTCCATGAGCACAGCTTCCTTCCTTCCTTTCTTTTTCTTCCTTCCTTCCCTCCCTCCCTCCTTTTTTCTTTTTTCCTTTTTCTTCCTTTCCTCCCTCCCTCCTTTCTTTTTTTCCTTCCTCCTTTCTTTCCTTTTTGTTTTTTGAGACAGGGTGTCGCTGTGTAGCCCTAGCTGTCCTGGAACTTGTTCTGTAGGCCAGGCTGGCCTCAAACTCACAGAGATCACCTTGCCTCTGATTCCTGAGTACTAGGTGTGTGCCACCACAGTCCAGCTAGTTCATTTTATCTTTACTGTTAAAGTATTGCTAATTTGTGCTGGTTATTTGAATGAAGAGTATTCATGTAAAACAAAAGTTAAGGGGCTGGTGAGATGACACATTGGGTAAGGGTTCTTTCTGCCAAGCCTGATGACTTAAATTCAATCTCCAGAACCTACGTAAGGTAGAAGAGAACCAACTTCTGCAAGTCATCTCCTGACCTCCACATTCACTCCATGATACCTGTACCCCCCAAAAGAAAATGTATAATGAGTTTTACTTTTTTACACAAATTAGTTAATGCCTTATCAAGTAATATATAAAACCCTACAATAGCCAAGCAGTTAGTCATAACATATGCCTATAATCCCAGCACTTGGGAGCTAGAGACAGGCAGATCTCTATGAATTCAAGGCCAGCTTGGTCCACAGAGGGAGTTCCAGGACAGCCAAGGCTACACAGAGAAACCCTGTCTCAAAAAACCAAACAAACAAAATGGACAATAAATAATGAAAAGAATGCCAGGCATTGGTGGCCCATACCTTTAATCCCAGCACTTGGGAGGCAGAGGCAGGTGAATCTCTGTGAGTTTAAGGCCAGCCTGGTCTACCGAGCTAGGTTCAGGACAGGCTCCAAAGCAATACAGAGAAACCCTGTCTCGAAAAGAATGTGCAAAATCTTTAGCCCGTTTGCAATAATACATGTCAGTTCTAAACCAAAATAGTTCCATTGAAGTACAAATGCCAAATGATAAGTAAGATTTAAAAGCTATGCAGTGGCAGCTTTTGGTGGTCAGCAAAACAAACCAACCACCATTAGCTGTATGGGAAAGAGAAAGTAGGTCCTAATTTGCAGATAAGAGATGTCTTTGGTAGTTAAGAGAATTACAAACTCTGCAAAAGCTTGTCAATAACATACAGAAGCAGCTCTCTGAGACCAAGAGAATGAGAAATGGTGTTAGTACCACAGCAAGCATAGGCTCTTGTGCACAATGCAGACGAGTGTGGTGCACAGGGCTTTATAGTTACAAAAGTGGGCCTTGAATAAGAGTTTCTGTAACCTTAAGCTTTTAAATTTTATTAAGTAATATAAAAGTTCTGTGTGTGTGCCTAAACAAGACCCAAACGATGACAGTATCGATAGATGGGTGCTAACTGGGGAAATCACATAGGAGTCCCACCCTTGGAAAGAGAATTAACTAACTGGTGACTGCTGAGAGAGGGAGATTTAGCTTCTCCCAGGGATGAGCCCCTAATTAGTTATACAGTACAAAGTGGTCAGCCCCAAAAGCATGTACACATGGAGTCCGCAGGTTGTATGTATTATATTCATGCATATGTATGTAACAAAGAAAAAGGAGCCATCAATTTGAGAAGGAGTGACTCAGGGAGACATAGGGAAGGTTGGACAGAGGAAAGGGAAGACAGAAGTAATGTAATTATATTTCAATTTAGTTCTTTGGTTTGTTTTTGTTTTTTTCTGAGTCAGGGTTTCTCTACCTATCTCTGGCTGTCCTGGCAGTCTCTGTAGACCAGGCTGGCAACAAACTCAGAGATCCACCCACTGCCTCTGCCTCCTGAGTGCTGGGATTAAAGGTGTGTACTACCACGCCCAGCATTCATTTCAAATTTTTAGTAAAAATAAAACTTTTAAAAGGTTACAGCCGAGGACTGGAGGGAGGGGTTGTTCGGAAGAGCCAGTGGCCCTGGGCCCATCCCTGTAAACAGCCTCAGAAATGGACTTTGAGTTGTTATTTCCTGTGAGGCGAGTAGACACACTCACAGGGATAGTTCAACAAGGCTAGAGCGATGAGGTTCCCTCAAGCTTTGTGTAGATGTGTGTGCTTGCATGTGGGCATGGGCATGTTGAGTACAGGCACCAGAGGAGGCCAGGGGTGTCAGATCCATTGGAACTGGAGTTACAGTTTGACAAGTGCTGGGAACAGAGCTCGGGTCTTCATCTAGAAGGTAACAAGTGCTTTTGACCCATCTCTCCAGCCCCTCAAATAAATTAAAGATTTATTTATGTATATAAATGCTCTGTTATACATGTATGCTTGCATGCCACATCATAAGATCCCATTATAGATGGTTGTGATCCACCAAGTGATTGCTGGGAATTGAACTCAGGACCTCTGGAAGACCAGCTAGTGTTCTTAACCTCTGAGCTATCTCTCCAGCCCATAACACATTTTTTTTTACAAGGACCATCTGGGCATTTCTGAGTGTGCTACATGTCTTGAGGGAAACAAGCCCAGGTCTTTTTCTAATCTCAAATACATAGGAATTACTCAGAATTGTACAGGAATTTGTGGCAAACCTGGTTAGCCAGCCCACCTGCTCAAAACTCATGATGTGTATTTACCGGGACAAAAAAACCTGGATCTTAGCTGAGCATGGGGGTGCACACCTTGAATCCTAGCACTTGGGAAGCAGAAGCAAGTGGATCTCTGTGGGTCTGAGTTCCAGCACAGCCAAGGCTGTTACAGAGAAACACTATCTCAAAAAGCAAACAAACAAAAAAAAAATCTGGATCTTCAGGCTGTTATTCAGGCAGGATGTAGTTTACCCTGGACTGGCCCCAGGCCCTGAGGCCTGATGTACTCTGCCTTCTCAGCCCGCTCTGTCTGCTCGTGATTGTGACTTCGTATTGTTCCAGAGTGAGCTTCTTCCTGGGCCCTTTCCTTTCTGGACCCTTCCCTGTAACTGAGCTATGGCTGTAGACGATGGGTATATTGTACTGACAGCAGACATGGGTCCTTCAGGAGATATTGATCAGAGATAGATGCCAGATAGATGCCAGTTCGGCTAAGGGGGTCCCAGGTTGTCATGGCCAAACTGAATCACTGTCCTCCGTGCTCTGGGGGCCACTAAATGAGGAACAGTGAGGGAAACCGGAGACTGGAAAGTAAGTTGGACAGAGCGGAAGAATGTCCTGCAAGCAGAAGGCAGAAGCATCTCATAGCTAAATGACACTGTTCCCAGTAAGGGCAGGAAAGGAGACAAGACCCAACCCTTACATAAGGCTTGACAGACTAGGTTTGAGTGATGGGATGGCCTCACCTCACCTCCCCCACCCTCAAAGCCACCCCCTCCCCCGCTGCCTTCCTCACAATGGGGTTCATTGCTGAGGTGTCAGGGCATACTAGGGAGGGTGAGGGAGGTGCCTACCTGCCAGACACCCATGGGACCGGAGCCCTTTCAAGCATGAACCATACCATCTGGGCTCCGCCACTCCCAGCGTGCTCTTAGCTCTGCGTGAGGCCTAGGGCCCTGGCCCTGGAGGACTTCTTAGCGTTCCTCCAGCAACCATCATGCAAGGTGGTGCTGGGGACTGCCCTCGCTGTGCTAGGAGGTGGAGGCCTCATGCTGTGGGCTCAGAGGAAGAAAAGGAAGACAGTCATAGAGTCTTCTGGGGACAGGTCTCCTGAATCCTGCCGAGCAAATGACAGCTGGATCAAATCTCACTTTAGCCGCCTCTCCGACGAGAGGTTGCCCACCCATCACTATGTCGGCTTCAGTGACCCCTCATATGAAAATAAGCATGGGGAGGCCAACACCACCATCCACATGGAGACACTAACCTCCACTCATGGGGAAGGAGGTGTGGCTCTACACCGAGATTCCTTTGCCAGCAAACAGAAGGTATCTGGGACCTCAGTGACCAAAGAGACCCAGAGGGAGTCGGGAAAGACCTCGTCAATAGAGGATGAAACGTGGGCTGCTGTAGCTGCATGTGCCAAGGAGATCGATGCCAAGGGACATCACCTGGCTAATTCTATGCTGCAACGTGCCTCGACTTACCGGCGTGCAGGCCATGTGGAATCCAGAGACATCAGCCCAGAAGAGCTGAAGGCTCTGGAGGAGGTGGAGATAAAACTGAAAAGGAATTTCCTCACTCAGCGGGAAACCACCGTAGCTGGTTCCAACCAAACACACACGGTCTATAGCCAGAGTCGCCATGGTCACCAAAGCCAGCACAGCCATCCAAACCACCAGAACAACCAGAATCATCCTGTTTACTCCAGCCACCAGGGTCATCATCCAGGTCACTTGAGCCACCAGGGTTATCCAAGTTACTCAACCCACCAGAGTCATCCGGGTCACTCAAGCCACCAGACTCATCTGGGCCACTCAAGCCACCAGAGTCACCAGGGTCAGCCAGGTCACGCAAGCCACCAGAGCCATAGTCTGCCCAACCGCAGCCACCAAATCTATGACTCTTGAAGCCACTTAACCATGTACCCCTCCCCCCAGCAGGGCTGGCTCACATACACAGGCCTGCTTTCTCTTCTATGGGGAAACCTATGTGGTCCAGGGTGAGAGGCTGCCACCCAAATCCCTACTTCTGGCCCCAGCTGGTGTCATGAGGGAGGGAGGAAGGGATGCAGCTACAACACCCCGAGGGCCCTGAAGACCCACGAGAGAAGACATGAGGCAGATTACAGGAGCAGCCACGAGCCCCACACTGACTCCACATGCCTGGATGGAGCCAATAAAACCCTGCATGCCCTCCTTCTGTGTCCAGGGGCTCTGTGACCAGCTCAGCTCTGGGCAGGGTTGGAGGAGTGGGTGTGTCCCCAGCAGTCCTGCAAGTGGTCCTTGGCTGGGGACCTCTCACTGCACCAGAGCAATTTCCCTTGGCCAGAGGCCTCAAACCCGCTTGCCTACTCCTGTGGAAGAGGGGGCCAGGGTCAAGCTTTCAGCAGAGAGTAAGCCAAAAGTGGGGCTTCAGGCCCCATCCTCTTGGCACCTTCTCAAGTCCCTGGGGGTCCATGAGGGTCCCTGTGTCCACTGGTCTAAAGCCATAAGAGACACATGTGGGGTCATGTCTCCATTGTTTGAGTCTGTGACAGTGGCTATTGCATCTGCCACCAAATTCGGACTATTTGGAGCTTTCACTTGTATCTTTTGTTTTTTTGAGACAGAGTCTCACTATGTAGCCCAGGCTGTCCTGGAACTCACCACATAGACCAGGCTAACCCTGAGCTCACAAAGCTCTGCCTGCCTCTGCCTCCAGAGTGCCGGGATTAAAGGTTTTTGAAGTAGATGTTTTGCTTCATGTCAAGCCATAGCCATAAGGAATGTATTCTACCCTATGAGGTCCCCGTGGTTCAGAGATAAAATTCCTCTGAGGTGACATAGTAAGAGATCTTAGATCCAGCATGCCCCCAAATCCATGAAGCCCCAGGTGTCTGCTCAGTGATGTGTCCTTGTCCTCTTCCACTCTCGAGGTCCGCCTCTCTGCTTACCCCTGACATCTTCATGCACACCCTACCTTTCTTCTGTCCTATAAGTCTAGCTTTCTCCCTGAGTCTTCCTCCTGGGTCTCAGAGTATGAAATGACCCCAAAATCAAGCAGCCACTTCTATGAGTCCTTAGCCAGATCAACAAGTCACTGCCTGACTCCGAGTAAATCTTTGGCATAGATTTGAGTCTGTTAATGGATTTACCAGGGGTTACCTTGTGGACCTTAGATCTCTCGGGCAAATTACTAAGGATAGCTAAGGTCATAAACACATTAAAGGTGGCCAGTTGGGAAGTATTTTTATTTTCTGGACATTGCTAGTATAAATATGTATGAATTAAATTTTAAATGTTTTAAATTTACTGTTGGCTTCTGATATGTGCATGGAGATCGGAGGGCAATTTTGTGGGGTCATTTCTCCCCACCTTTACATGGGTTCCAAAGATTTAATGCAGGTCATCAGGCTTGCACCATCAAGGTGGCAAGAGCTTTTGAACCACTGGACCATCTCACTGCCCCAAATATATATGAATTTTTATTTACATAATTTTCAGCAGAATAAAGGTAAACGTAAGGAAAACAGGAAGAATTCCTCTGAATGGGAGGGGTCCCACTGGAGGAATGTGCTATATTTGTACATTTTAAATATTTCATAAAATTTTGTACCAGGAAGTGATGATACACACCTTTAATCCCAGCACGTGGGAGGCAGAGACAGGCGGATCCCTATGAGTTTGAGGCCAGTCTGGTTTATAGAGAGTTCCAGGACAGCCAAGGCTGTCTCAAAAAACAAAAACCAACAGCAACAAATTGAATCAGATGTAATGAGGAGGCAGAGACAGGTGGATCTGGGGCTTCTGGCCAGCCTAACTCATTCAGTGTGCTCCAGGCCACAGATACAGCCTCAGGGCCGTAAAGACACAGGTGCTGACAGAGCCAGCCTTCTCACCCAGCTCCTCTACAGGGCAGCCTCTGGGCTGAGCTCTTCCCAACCTTTCTCTATAATCTGAAGGAAGTGTGGCGCATGCTTTTAATCCCAGCACTCAGGAGGCAGAGGCAGGCAGATCTCTGAGTTCGAAATCATCCTGGTCTACAAGCGCTAGTTCCAGGCCAGCCTCCAAAAAGCCACAGAGGAACCCTGTCTTAAAAAAACACAACAAAAAACACCAAAAATTCAATCTGACAAAATTGTGTTTCTCCAACATGCATGTTAATTCCCAGTTCTGTTTCTTGTGCTTATAAGGAAGATTTTGCCGGCGTTCCTCATAGCCCATTTTCATCTTCAAAATTCAGAGCTTGTAGATAATCCATGAGTGCGTGTCAAAGTTTTATTACAGTATCATTGTAAGCAAAATAGCCCAGAGCAAAATAGTCCACTTAAATATAGATTTTGGTGTGGACATTCATTTTTTTATTATGGAAAGAAAAAAGACTATCAGGTGACTATTAAGACTCACAAAAAGAGCAGCTAAGTAGCCACCAGGGTCTGGCCTGAGTCATCTGGGAAGTGGCTGGCCTCCCAGATCTAGACCCAATTCCATTAAAGTTCATTGGGAAATTGCTTAAGCATTTTGTCAGGCATTTCTTCCCAGAGGGAGAAATTATAAATTAGATCACGTTAAAAAAAGAAAAAGTTTGCTCTGCCTCAGGCCTGCTAGTGCAGAGTGGTTGCTTTATACAGCAGACTGACAATTAGCACCTCAGTGAGTCTGTGTTGGTCATCATGTCCCTGTCCCTGACTGAGTGATTCCAGACCAAGCAAGAAGAGCACGTAGTAGGACAGCAAGATGCAGGACCCAGAGGGACAGGGATTTGAGACACCTGCTTTAGGGATTTGAGATGTCCTGGCTGGCTTCAAAGCCCTCTGCAAGCAACTGTGCAGAGGTAGAATGACAGTGGTTGTGGATGGGGAAGAACCTTGCTTACCAGTCCAACCAGGGCCTTGGACAACCAAGCAAGTAGTGTCCAAGACACACCCCCAGTCTGCACGGATGGAGAACACTAGTAGATGGGTGAAGGCTGAGGAGGAAGCCAGAAGAATGGCTGTGGAACTTAGAACGAAGGAGTCCATCTGTTCTCGGTTCTCATCTTGTAGAAGATGCCAGGGAGAGAAAGCTTCCTGATCCCTTCTAAGCAGGGAAGGGCAGCTCAGAGGAGAAAGGCTCAGTGCTCAGACCCTCACACCGGGACTCCAGAGTGACACCTTAGAGAAGGAAGCAATAATGAGGCACCAAGGGGCCATGGTGCCCTTCTGTGAGACACTGCTTCCTTTTGGCCACAGTAAATCCCCAGGTGGCCCGTGCAGCCCGCTCAGCACCCTCCCTACTCAGGCCCACCTGAGCAACTTCCACAGTGAGAAGGGACTTTTGGGGACGGGAGTTGAGCGGTTTTCCCATCTGGCCCAGCCACACTCCTGCTTTAAAGTGAACTTTCTTCCAACTCCTGCACCTACCCACTAGGCTCCAGTATAGGTACTTTACAAAGTATCCCATTTTAACTTCACTGTTGGAGGAAATACCAGTGTCTCCATTTCTCAGTTAAGAAAGCTAAGGTTTTGTTAAGCCATTTTTCTTTTACCTTTTTTTTTTTTAAATAATTTATACACATCTGTGTATGTGTGCCTGTTGTGTGTGTGTGTGTGTGTGTGTGTGTGTGTGTAGACGAGAAGAGGGCACAGGAAATATGAATTGCCCCACATGGGCCCTGGGAACTGAGCTCAGGTATTCAAGAAGGGTGGCAAGGGATTTTAACCACTGAGCCATCTCTCCACCACCCTCCCTTTTCCTTGTAAATTATTATTTTGAGATAGGACCTCCCGATATACCCCAAACTGAACTTGTAGTCAGGAGCCTCCCGCCTTGGCTTGAGTACCAGGGTCACACATGTGTGCCTCCAAGCTTGGTGGCTAAGCCACTTTCTCAAGACCTCTCAGTTGGTGAGAGGACCACCCTGAGAGCTGGTCCTGGCTTTTCTGACAAGGGCCTGTGCCCCAGCCATCCCACCTACTGCTCAGTCCGCTGTTTTCCTCGCCCTCGGTACTGGGGGACCTTTTATGTGATAGATGCAAATGTTTCAGACCTGCAATTAGACAGAAGCCAGGGTGAAGGAGGGGGCCTTTCTGCAGATGGCAGTGCTTTGTGGGACATTTTCCCAGCTGAGCCTTTAGAATGACTCTGCCGTGTAGGGCTGGAATGATCTGTCACTTCACAGAAAAGGAAATGGACACTTGAAGGTCTGACAACTTCCCAGCCTGCATGCTTAGGAGTTGGGCACAGGCCTAGTGCCTGGTTCTGGAGGTGGTGGTGTGAGGGAGTGGAGGGGTCGGAGGGTTAGGGGGCGAGAGGGAGAGTATGACATTAAGAGTGACTTGGGAGTGACTGTAGCTGGGTTAGGGATCACAGTATAAGCCTGTCATAGCCTGAGGTAGCAGATAATTTTGGCAACTAAATAGAAGAGGCAAGATCTTGGTCTTGAAATAGCGGAGGGTTGGTCCAGTGTTGGCTAAATGGGAGCCCTCACTGGGCAAGCAGCTTCTTCAAAGGGGTCGGACATTCCCAGGAAGTAGCGAAACCTCCCGTGCCAGAACAAGAGACTGTACTTTCCCTCTACTGGCAGTGGAACCTAATGCTTCAGTGAACGACACGGAAAAGGGTGTGGTATGAAGTTGAGTGGACATCACATTGTGTCCCCTGAGCGGTGACTCACAGGCATACTTTCTCCTGGTTTCAGTGCCAGGAAACTCTGTGTTTCTCCAGGGCAGCTGCTTTGCTCTTATCATCCAGGTTCTGCATACTGTTAGGGACCACATTTACCTTTTAGCAGTGACTCCTGGGAAAGCTCCCCCATTAAATGTATGGCTTGCTACACACAGCTGTATGGCATGGATTTTGTATGCTAATGCTCTCCTGTTTTATTGCCTTTTTCTTTTCCCACATTCTTATTTCTAAGCCTAGTGTAATAGGCATTGTAATTCTTCACTACTTGCAATTCTCTTTCTCTCTGATTTTTTAAGACAGAGTTTCTCTGTGTAGCACTGGCTGGCCTTGAACTCAGAGACCCACCTGCCTCTGTCTACCAAGTACTGAATTAAGAGGAATACACCGCCACTGCTTGGCTAGCTACTGTAGTGATGTATTTATGATTTATTAAAGTTTGCCTGAGGATTCAGAAAGCAAAGTCAGCCACAGACCATAGAAGTCAGTCACACACCTTTAATCCCAGCATCTTGTGGCTAGAAGGTGGTGGTACACATCTTTAATCCTAGGACTCAGGATTAAGAGAGACTCTACACAAGAGTGAATCAGTCTAAAAGAGAATTATAGCTCATATCTTTAACCCCAGGACTCATGAGAGGTATGTATACAAGACAGGAAGAGCCAAGACTCACTATCAGGCATTGATTCTCCAGCCACTCTGAAGAGAGGCAGCAGGATCCGCCCATTCAGCCGGAAGTAGTCGCAAGATCCAGTGGCCACTGCTTTGCTTCCCTGATCTTCAGCTTGAACCCAGATATCTGTCCCTAGGTCTTTTTAATTGTGTTACAAACTACTTATGGTTTTTATTGCTTGAGACAGGGTCTCATATCCTCCAGGCTGGCCTTGAACTCTTGACACTCTAACTTCCACCTCCCAAATGCTGGGGTTACAGATGTGGTTTGTTTTTTGGGTTTTTTTTTTTTTTTTTAACAGACTTAATTCACTTTATTTTTCTTGTATAAAACCCCTTATGTGGTGGCAACAGCTGGAGCCTGGGTCCTCTGAACAGAGACTCTGATATGGGCTTTCACAAGATGGTCAGTGAATTCCTGATAAGGAGACTTGGTGAACACAGAGATGGCATTAAAGGTGGCCTTGGCAAAGTTGCCCAGGGTGGCAGTGCAGCCCCTGGCTGATGTGTAGCAGTCATCAATACCGGCCATCATCAGTAGCTTCTTGGGCACAGGAGCAGAGACGATGCCTGTGCCTCTGGGGGCAGGGATGAGACGCACCAACACAGAGCCACAGCGGCCTGTCACTCACTTTGCATGGAACAGTGTGGGGCTTGCCAATCTTGTTCCCTCAGTAGCCTCTCCTCACAGGGACAATGGAAAGTTTGGCCAAGATGATGGCCCCTCGGATAGCTGTGGCTACCTCCTTGGAGCATTTAACACCAAGACCAACATGACCATTGTAGTCCCCAATAGCGACAAAAGCCTTGAACCTGGTCCGCTGGCCAGCCGTTGTCTGTTTCTGTACTGGCATGATCTTTAGAACCTCATCCTTAAGAGATGCCCCCAAGAAAAAGTCAATAATCTCGGATTCCTTAATGGGCAGAGAGAAAAGGTAGATCTCCTCCAGGGACTTGATCTTCATGTCCTTAACCAGGCGGCCCAGCTTGGTGACAAGGACCCACTCCTTGTCTTAGGCTTTACCTCCACGAGTCCCACGGCCTCGACCACGGCCGCAGCCCCTGAGACCGCTGCCCAAGCCTCCTCGGAAGCTGCCGCAGCCTCCTAATCCTGAGCCCCCGGGTCCTCAGGGCCCTCCCGCTGCACTGGCGTCATCCACCATTTGGTGTTTTCCCGAAGTAGCTGTTTTTTGGGTTTTTTTGTTTGCGTGTTTTGTTTTTGAGACAGGGTTTCTCTGTGGCTTTGGAGCTGGCTGGCTTCAAACTCACAAAGATCCACCTGCCTCTGCCTCCTGAGTGCTGGCATTAAAGGCGTGCGCCACTACCACCACCACCCTGCACAAATGTGGGTTTTTGTTGTTGTTGTTTGTTTTGTCTTCTTGTTTGTTTGTTTTAATGGAAGGACTTTGTCTTTGTTACCTTTCCTGACACTGATAAAATACCCTGACTGAATGCAAAAAGGAAGTAGAAAGGAAAGGCGATGACTGCTCCCAGGTAGGAGAGGAGAATGTATTGTAGATTAGAGGGAGAACAAAGCCAGAGGTAGGGACATCTGGGAGAGTTCAGCGTGGATGTGACCCTGAGCCGAGTGAGGAGAGAAGGGAAGGGGAGACAGGGAAACAGAAGCAGCAGTTAAGGTGAAAGGTGCAAGTGACAGGTAACCAGAACCGCTAGCCAGAACCACGGCAGGGGCAGGCCGGATTCTCCTGGGAAGAGCCTGGGGTGAGGGTGGGGCAGCTCAATCCCTGGGCTGGAGAGGGAAGTGGGGGGGGGGGTTCACATACCCAGTGACTGGTAGTGACTGGGGGATGCTGGCTGGGTGGCCAGGTCTGCTTTGATATGCTAAATAGGCACCTCAGCAGTTTGTCCCAGGGTTTGAGACTTAACAACTTAAGGGGCAAAGGGCTCATTTAGACTCAATTCCTGAGGTCACATTGCATCCTGGAGGGGTGGACATCACAGAAGCAGGAACTTGAGGCAGCTGGTCACTTTGCACCCACAGAGAGCAGAAAGCAATGGCTGCCCAGCTCTCTTTCTCCCCTTTGGGATTCTCCAGAATCCAACCCAGGGAATTGTGGTGCCCACAGTGGGCTGATCATCTCTCTTCAGAGAACCTAATCAAAACAACCCCCCCACAGGCACTCCCAGAGGCCTGGCTCCTGGGTGATTCCAGAGCTCATCAAATTGACAATTGAGGTTAACCAGCACAGGCATGGAGAGGAGAAAGGAAAGGAAAAGGAAGTAAATGGGAAAACGAGTCTGCTAACACTCATTTCCCTCAAGTTCTGCCAAGCAGTCGCTTCTGCTAGGCTTTCAGAGAATTAAAAAAGTTGGCACAGTTAACTGATATGGGTTAGAAATTTCTCAAACAAATGGTTGATAAAACAGGAAGGTAAGCTGGTAGCACATACCTTTAATACCAGAGGCAGATGGATCTTTATGAGTTCAGAACCAGTCAATGCTACAAACAAAACCAAAACCAGCAGGGAGACAAAAAAGAAAAAAAAGACAATGAGATACCACCTTTGACACAGAAAAATGACAAGCGTTAGTTCTGGGGATATCGAGAGTCGGCATGGATGAACACTAGCAGCCTTCCTGCTGTGGGCTGTGTGTTGACCAATGGGAAGCCTGGCACCCAGGAAGCTACACACAGACGACTGTCACACCTAACTATGGGAATGTGAAAGGAATTCCTAGGCATAACCAAAGATCTTTCCAGAAAATGTTCGTTTTAGCATCATTTGCAGCAGCAAAAAAGTCTTAATGTCGTCTAGGAGAGACTGTAAAGCATGGTCTAACCGTGCAGTTGAACAGTGTAGAGAAATCGGGCAAAGGAATCAGCTTTGCATTCTGTTCTGCTGCAGACAAACTCAAAACAACACTAAACAAAAAGCAAACTACAGATTACATATGATATGCCTGGTTCCATTTCTCTGAAGTATAAATCGCCTTATTCATGGATCCTTATATATGTTGCATGTGTATAAAGACACAAAAGAGCAATAAACACCAGAGTTGGAGCAGAAAGCCCAAGTGAGAGGTAATGGGGAGGGTTGTCATGGATGCAGGGACCATGGGTGCAGGTCATGTTATAGACTGTTCTTTCTGGTATGCTTAAAAGTTTCACACAAAGGAAAATGGTGGATACACTGCTGTGCATCTGTTGAGAACCCTCTATGTCAGGACCGGGATGGGAAGGGTGGGTGGAAAGCCATGGTGGAAAGATAACCCTGGGGACTGTTCCTGAGAGAGGGGGTGGGTGGGTTGCAGTGATGGGGGCTCTGTTGTAGGCTTCGTGGTCCAGGGCTCTACTGGAGAGTTTCCGTTCCTGACCAGCAGCGAGCGCCTGGAGGTGGTGAGCCGCGTGCGCCAGGCCATACCCAAGGACAAGCTCCTGATAGCCGGCTCTGGCTGCGAGTGTGAGAATACAATGCCTTGGGACCTGGGGTTGCTGGGCTGTGGGGGATCCAGGCTCCTGGGCCCTGGGGTTGGGTTCTGTCTATTGTTTTGCCCCTGCCGTGGGACCCATTGAGGCCCTTTTGCTCGCCTTCTCCCCTGTCCCTCACTGCAGCCACTCAAGCCACAGTAGAGATGACGGTCAGCATGGCTCAGGTCGGTGCTGATGCCGCCATGGTGGTGACTCCCTGTTACTATCGTGGCCGCATGAGCAGCGCTGCCCTCATTCACCACTACACGAAGGTAGGTGGGAGGGGTGGGTGTGGATTAGAGGCCTGGGACCAAGAGGAGGTTGCAGAGAAGGAGGCCATGCCTAAGGAAAAGCTAGGAATGGAGTACAGAGCCTATATCGTGTTAATAGTCACTCGAGGACCTAGGTATAATGCCATCATGTACCAACTGTGTGACATTAGACCACTTACCTAACCTCTCTGTATCCGTGTCCCTTAAAACAGGAAGAATAAGGGATGGAGAGACAGCTCCATGGTTAAGAGCTCTTACAGATGGCCTAAGTTCAATTCCCAGCACCCATGTTGGGTGGCTTGCAACCATATCCAACTCCAGCTTTAGGGGATCGGACACCTCTGCTTCTGCAGGGCTATACAAGCTCTGCAGCATGCATAGCTTCTAGCTGTGTCTGATGTGCAGACGGCACTCAGAAACTTCCCATCATTGCTACCCACACTTCAGGAGGCAGACCTGTCACACCGCCCTGTGGTGACATGTCCAGGGCCCGTGAAGGTAAGCCTCCAGCCCTTCAGACCCAGCCACTTGTCATCTCCTCTTCTCTGGGTCCCACAGGTTGCCGATCTTTCTCCAATCCCTGTGGTGCTGTACAGTGTCCCAGCCAACACTGGGCTAGACCTGCCTGTGGATGCAGTCGTTACGTTGTCTCAGCACCCGAATATCATTGGCATAAAGGACAGTGGTGGCGATGTGAGTGGCAGCAGCTCCCAGACTGGGATCTCCTCCTCTTTCTCTGCTTTCAGCATGGTAGTTTCTAACCCAGAGTAGCTCTGAGACCTGTGTCAGCCCCATGCTTGTTGGGTGGGCTCCCTGTGGCATTGCCTGAACTTTAGGGCATCTCTCTGGACATTGGGCTGTATTTTGACAGCACAGGCCCAGCCTGACCAGGCTGGTTGTTGAGTTCTGGGACCAGCTCTCACACTTCCTTTACTGCAATAGGTGACAAGGATCGGGCTAATGGTTCACAAGACTAGCAAGCAGGATTTCCAGGTGTTGGCTGGGTCAGTTGGCTTCCTCCTGGCCAGCTATGCTGTGGGTAAGCCTCCTGCTGCACTCAAATGGTCCTGACCAACCAAGATGCACCCAGTTGCTGGGACTACTGGGAGAGACAGGGAGGTAGGGAGAGGGGGCAGGCCTGGGTCTGCACGGAGCAGCTGTCTCAACTCTGGGTGCTTGGCCTTGACGGTTTTGAGTGGGGGGGGGGAGGCATAAGAGTACAGTGCTAGCCCATAGAGATAGATGCCTGCAGTTGGTAAAGACCCAAATCCATGCTTAGACTACAAAATTAGCTCCTCTGTAAATCAATCTCTGGGAACAGAGGTCTCAGGCCTCTGTTCTAGGCCAGGAGTCCACCTTCCTCTGCCTCTGACCATGGGACAGAATGAACTGTCAGACCTGGGGGTTGGGATGGGCTCTCTGGCTGACTTGTCAGATTCTCTTGCAGTCCAGCATCCTAGCAACGCCACGTAGACCAACTGTGTGAGACAGTAGTGGTCTCCATTACCTCCAGGCTCTGTGACCTCAGCTTTGGCCCATCTCCCTTTACCATCGTCCTGCACCTAATGTGCAAGATGCAGGGAGGGGCGTTTGTAGCGCTTTCCTGAGATACAGGTGGGGAAGGCCCAGGGTCTGGAGGTGGAGGCAGCTGAGCTGTGGTTTCAGCCACTTATACCCCAAGTAACCCAAGTGAAGACACCAGCCCTCACTGGGCCGGCATTTTACCCTGAAAAATAAAGTGATCAGAAGATTAGAGGCCCAGCCCCATCAGTCACAGTGCCTAACACATAATATGTAATTTTTTTTTTTTTGAGACAAGGTCTTTCTATGTAGTCCTGATTATCCTAGAACTTGCTATGTAGTCTAGGCTGGCCTTTGCATTACCTGCCCCTGCTCCCTGAGTGCTGCTGGGATTAAAGGCATGCATCACCATGCCTGGCTATGAGTATTTTTTGTTTTAAAATAAATTTGTTCTTGTTAAATTTTTAAAATTATATCTGACCTATTTTGTATACATATGTGTATGGGGGGTGCATATGTAATGGCACACATGTGGAGGTCAAAGGACAACTTTGGGAAGTTGTTCTCTCCTACCACATAAGTCCTGGGTATTGAACTTGGGTCATCAGGCTTAATTGTAAACCCCTTTTACCCACTGAGCCATCTCACTGGCCCCATAGTAGGTGTCTTTTTTCTAGTCTAGAACTACCATGCTTAGGGTTACTCCCAACTCATCTCAGAATCACATTCAGAGGCTGAGTTTCACATCATGAAGCCAAGGGAAGGAAATGCCCAAGCTCCTGACCCCACATCCAGGCTGCTTTTCCACTCCATACGAGTAGTGGGCCAGTTAATAGAGGAATACGATTTCAGAATCTCCGTTCCTATTTTCCTAGTCCCTAAGGTGTCAAGATCCTGTTGGGGGAACATGGTAGGAGAAGGGACTGTCCTGTATGTAGGCTGTTCCCTGCCCTGCCACTGGCTCAGAGCAGTACCTGACACACACACAGGCAGCCTTTGCCTCTGGAAGTACACACTCTGGACACACAGAGCATGCCTGTGACATGGCCCAAGGAGTACAGACATCTACATCCTGTGTTCCCAAAATGAAAAAGCGCGGGGCCCAGGCTTTGGGATTCTCTGTAGTAAGTGGCCCTGACTGACGTTCTGTGTCTCCTTTGGGCAGGAGCTGTTGGGGGCATATGCGGCCTGGCTAATGTCTTAGGGGCCCAGGTGTGCCAGCTGGAGAGACTCTGCCTCACGGGGCAGTGGGAAGCTGCCCAGACACTTCAGCACCGCCTCATCGAGCCCAACACTGCGGTGAGCTCCCAGCCTGGGTTGGCACGGGGTCCCTGCTCAATCCTTCCTTTTCAGAATGTCCATTTAGAGAGTGTTCCCACTGTGGGAGCCCCTGCTGCCTCCAATTGCAGAAAGAGTGAGGCCTGTTGGCTCTCAAGCTTCAGAGTTCATTGGAACTCCCATGTGGGCCAGTTTAATGTCCAACCCTTTGAACATGCACTGAAACAGTGTCCCGAGTGGCAGCAACCTCAGTGACTTGAGACCATACCTAGAGGCTCAAAGCCTAGAGACAGTACACCATGGCTTTACAGGAACCTCACAGGGTACAGAAACCATCAGTCGGGATGACTACAGCAGGGGAGAACTGGGGGTACAGATACTGACAGAGTGACTAGGACAAGGCAGAACTCGGGATATGGATACCAACAGTCCGAGAACTGGAGATCTTCCAGAACAGTCCTCAGTCATGTGTTCTGCAGTTCAGACCTTATGCTCCAGCTCTTTTGGGGACAGGCAGGTCAAGGAGAACTCAGCAGGAAAGCTGGCCAAGATCAAGGCTATTTTGACATCTGAAGACAACTGAAAAAAATGTACATCCTTATTTTATTTTATTTATTTTGTGTGAATGGAAGTTTCTGTCCCACCCCATCCTGCAGCCTTTTAATCCCAAACAAACACAAAGAGCGTTATATTAATTATAAACTGTTTGGCTGATAGCGAAGGCCTCTCTTTAATTATTATCCATTTCTATTTATCTATACATCTCCACATGGTCTTGGCTTACCGGAGAATGCCCAGATGTCGTGCCTTCCCAGTAGCTACATGGCATCTCTCTGGTGACTCACTCTCCAGTCCTCTTCCCAGCATTCTCCTAGTCTGGTAGCCCCGCCTGTATTTCCTGCCTGGCTACATCCATTGGCTGAAAAGGTTTTATTCATCAATCAATAAGAGAAACATATATTCACAGCATACAGAAGGACATCCCCATCAATTCTGAAAGAATCTTACTATGTTGCCAAAGCTGGATTTGAACTTGTTGGCTCTTGAGATCCTCCTGCCTCAGACTCCTGAGTAGCTGGGTCTGTCCTGATTTTGCATTTGGATTAATGTGAATGTTTGCTGATCACCTTCTCTGTATCCTCACCAGCATACCTGTTAGGCTGTCTTATTTCAGCTCTTTTGACATTTGGGAAGTAACATGTATTTCTAGTGGCTGAGGATGCTGAACATCTTTTCAGGCATTTGCTTGTCACAGCCTTGTCAGGCAAATATCTGTCTATGTCCCGTGCTCATTTTATTTCTGGTGCTGGAAGTTGTATGCAGGCCTCACACACAGCCAGACATGTGCTTTGCCATCCACCTTCAGTCCTGACTGGTTGCTTTCTCTATCTCTCTCTCTCTCTCTCTCTCTTTTTTTTTTTTTTTTTTTTTTTTTTTTTTTTTGGTAATAGCCCTAGCTGTCCTGGAACTCACTTTGTAGACCAGGCTGCACTCAGACTCACAGAGATCTGCCTGTCTCTGCCTCTTGAGTGCTGAGATCAAAGGCATATGCCATCACACCTGACATCTTGCCCATTTTCTAAGTGAATGTCTTTCTTAATTGTTAAGTTTGGAAGAACTACATGATGGGAGATGTCATTATGTTTATATGTTTTTTATACTGGTTAATAATAAAGCACTGTTGGCCAATAGGAAAGGAAGATAGGAGGGACTAGGAGACAAGGAGGAAATAGGAAGTAGTAAGGAGGAGTCAAGATGGAGAGTCTGGAGAGAGCTGGACGCCAGCCGCCTCCCCGGTAAGAGAAGGCCCTGTGAAAATACATAAATCAACAAAAATGGGTTAATAATTAAAGACAGAGCTAGCCAATAAAAAACAAATAACCGGGCCAACAGTATTGTACCAAATACAGAGTCTCTGTATTATTTGGGGCTGGCGCGGTAGCAGGACAAGACTGGGTGGCGGGCAAAAAAACTGTACACCTTACAGATGGCGCCCAACGTGGTTAATAACTTACAACTACACACTAATCCTTTGCTGGATGTGTGCTTTAAATATTTTCCCCTAGTCTGTAGCTTGGTTTTTTGTTTTTGGTTTTTTTCATTTTACTTATATGCTTTTGGTCAATCAAATTTTAAATTTTGCAGAAAAAAATTAAAATTTGTTGAAGTCAAATTTATCAATTTTCTTTCTTGAATCATACTATTAATGTCAAGCCTAATGATCAGCACTAGTTGCTAAATATATTTTCCTATTTTGCTTCCTAAAAGTTTTATAGTTGCATTCTAAAAGTTTGTGACCCATTTTGAGTTAATTTTTGTGTAAAGCCTGAGACTTTGGTCAAGGTTCCTTTTTTTGCCTATGGATATCCCCTGCCTCCAAAACCGTTAGTTGAGAAAGCTTTCTTTCCTCTGTTGGACTACCTTTCTGCCTTTGTCAAAAGTCAGTGGGGCAGATTTGTGAGAGTCTATTTCTGGGTTCTCTAGTCTTTCCATTGATCTGTGTGTCTGTACCTCCACTGTGCCACAGTCTGGATTGTTAGCTGCAGCATAAGAGTTCAAATAAGTCTTGCAAGAGGCTGCTTCCTTCTATTTGATTCTTTTTATCTTCCTTAAAATCACCTGAGGTAATTGATTCATTTGTCTTTCTGTATTAATTTTAGAATAATTTTGTCTACATCTACATAAAAACAAATCTTACTAGGAATTGTCATTGTCAACCTGTAGACCACTCTGGGATGGCAACATCTTCCCTGTGTCATTGTTCAATATTTTTTATTCTTGAGACAGGGTTTCTCTGTGTCGTTTTGGAGCCTGTCCTGGAACTTGCTTTGTAGACCAGGCTGGCCTCAAACTCACAGAGATCTATCTGCTTCTGCCTCCTGAGTGCTGGGATTAAAGGCATGGATTACTACATCCAGCTACTTCATGTTTTTTTAGGTAAGCGAAAATGGTATTTTAATTTCACTATCTATATTCATTGCTAGTATTTAGAAACACAGTTCTCTCTCTCTTTCATCTTCTCTCTCTGTCTCTGTTTGTATGTGTGTGTAATGCAGATGACACCCAGGGCCTCAAGCATTCTAGGCAAATTACTATATCACCCATCGAGCTACATTTCCAGTTCTACAGCTGATTTTTAAATATGTCTCTTACATCCTGTAGTTTTGCTGAACCCAGTAGTTCTAGGAGGGCTTTCTTGTTCATAGACTCCTTGGGATTGTCTACGTCGACAATCATATCATCTACACACAAGGGGAGTTCATCATATCCATTTCCACTCTACGTCTTTCATTTGCTTTTCTTAATGTTTCTGCACTGACTAGGACTTCCTATCTAGGGTGAATAAAATTCCTGGTTCCTGATCTTAAAGAGAAAGCACTCGGTCTTTCACACAAGTATAATGCTTGCTCTAGGTTGTTGCAGATGCTTTTTATTAATCGAGGATACCACTCTCTATTCCCACTTGTCTATGAATTTTTACAAATCATCAATGAGTCAAATGCGTTTTCACTTTGACTTATATGATCATGTGACTGTTCTTTAGCTTGCTAACATGGCGAACTATATAATCAATTGAAAAAAAGAGTTGAGTTATTTATTTTTTTAATTTATGTGTATAGTTGTTTTGCCTACACATATGTACACCACGCGCATGCCTGGTGGCCATGGAGGCCGACTGAAGTTACAGGTGGTTGTGAGCTACCCACATAGGTGCCGGGAACCGAACCTGGATCCTCTTGACCACTGAGCCATCTCTTCAGCCCCAAATCACTTGTTTTGTTTTTGTTTGTTTGTTTGTTTTTTGAGATAGATAGAATATCTCTACATAGCTCTGACCTGGAACTTACTATGCAGACCAAGTTGGCCTCAAACTCACAGAGATCTGCTTGCTTCTACCCCTCGAGGGCTGGGATTAAAGGCAGGTGCCAGGCTAATCACTTTTCAAATATCAACACCTAAGTGCATCCCTGGGAAAACCTCATGTAGTCATAGTATGCGTTTGTTTTGCTATAATGCTGACATTTCATTTAGTGATATTTTGCTAAAAATGTTTGTCTGTATTCATGATAAGTGATTTTTTTCTCCTTCCTTTCCCTCCTCTCCCTCCCTCCTTCTCCTTTTCTCTCTCCCAACCATCCTTCTTTCCTCAGTGAGTCTGATTCATCAAACGAACTAGGGGATTTCCTTTGCTCTTAAGTTTCCTGGTACACATGATTTGGAATTGATATGAATTCTTCTTCAAACATTTCGTGGAATTCTCCAGTTGAAACCATGGTGATTTAATGGGATAATTGGACTACAGTTTTATAAGGTCGTGAGCCACCATGTGGGTGCTGGGAACTGAACTCAGGACTCTCAACTGCTGAGCTGTCTCTCCTCCAGCCCTTTTGTTGGAACTTTTATTTTAAAAGTTTATTATTATTATTATTATTATTTGGGGTTGCACATGCATGTCTCACTGCACATTTGAAAGTCAGAAGACAACTTTGTGGAGTTGGTTCTCCTACTTTTTTGTTTGTTTGTTCTTCAAGACAGGGTTTCTCTGTATTATTTTGGAGCCTGTCCTGGCTCTCACTCTGTAGACCGGGCTGGCCTGGAACTCACAGAGATCTGCCTGCCTCTGCCTCCCCAGTGCTGGGATTAAAGGTGTGCGCCACCAACCCCCGGCGGTTCCAGGGATGAAACATTAGGCTTGCCTGGCCAGTTCTTTGCCTCCTGAGCCGTCTCCCCAGCTCCTGTATGGTGGCTATCCTCAGTCCCAAATCTGAGCTAGAGAACTCACCATTGTGTTGATCCCTGGTGTGTGAAAAGGGCACAGGTCCATCTTTCCTCTTCAATCTATCTTTCAGAGTTTTCTTACTTGGTTTTTGAGACAGGGTCTCACTGTACAGCTCTGACTGGCCTGGAATTTGCTTTGTAGACCAGACTAAACAGCTCCTAGAGGTTTACCTGTCTCTACCTTCCAAGTGCCGAGATTAAAGACTCATATCCCACACAGAACAGATTGTACTGCCGGTTTTCTGTAATGTCCAGAGTGTTCGTCCGTGGTTGCAGAAGAACAAGCACAAATGTCTCTGTCTTCTCAAACATGAAAGGTTTAAGTAGTTTCCCAAGTTGAGACTCTTCCCACCCTGAATATTCAAGTAGTTGAAAATAATATTTAGAAAAGTGGGTATATAAAACCGAGAACATTACTTACCTTAGGTTTGAATATCTTATATATACTTAAACAATTTATAATCATTGTACTCTTCTGGCTTTAATGGGAACGAACTTATTAAGACATTTTTTTCCTTAAATTTATTTCCAGAAACAAAATCAAACCAACAAACAAAACATTGCCCAGGCTGCCCTTGAAGTTTCTCTATAACCCAGGCAAGCCATGAAGTAATGATCCTCCTGCCTCTGCCCCCAAGTAGCTGCCACTAGGCCCACCTTACCTTGATTGTGTTTTTGCTTTTAAGTTTTACATCAGAGGCAAGTATCTAAGTTTGTTCCAAGCCACTATCTGTTCACCAACTACATAGCGGCAGACACTCTGTAGCAAGGGGTGAGTGTGTCTAGGTTCCTGCCTAGCTTGGGTCCTCTCTTCAGTTTTAGAGCTGAGAAGGAAGGGGTCTTCTTCCTGGATGTGGAGCTTCCCCACGGAGTGACTCTCAATAGTTCTAAGAACTTGCAGAAATGAAACCTAGCTAAGGAAGCCCGGGCTGCCCTCAACACTCTGGCCTTTCCCCTGGGGAGGAGTCCTGGCTTTCTCACTGTCATCTACCTGCAGAAGAGAAGGGTCCCACACCTGCACCCTGCCAGGACAGGAGGAGGTAGTGTCTCCAGCAGTCTTGGGAGCTGCTGTGATTTTAATGGTGTTTTGTCATCCGATGCTTGAGTCATCTCTATGAGTAGGTGTTGATATAATCTCACTTTACAGAGGAAGTGGTGTTGGCTGCCCCCATGGGGAGATGGGAAGCCCCTCCCTTCAGGCTGTGCCCTCCTGTGCCAGCCCTGGGCACACACTCAGGAATGCCTGGAACACCTTGTTGCTGCTGCCTGAGCTGTAGGCTCAGACACTCCAACAGCAGCCTGATGTCACTTTATTGCCCTGTTCTTGTCCAAGGCATGCTCTTCTGCTGCCTGCCCCCTCCAGCCAGCCTCCTGCCCCAGGCTATATTTAGGACTTTCTAAGGTCTTTCTCACCCAAATGGCTAGCCTTTCTCCAGGCCTGAGAAGGAAGCACACAGGCTGTCTTCAGCACCCACGGTAGGAACAAAGTTTTCTCCAGGTCCTACATGGTCCATCTTCTTCTAGAGGTTTTGGCCAAGTACAAAAAGCTTCAGGCTTTTAAAAGCCAGGCTGTTAAGACACCATGGGTGGGGGAAACATTCATTTGCTGATGACGGCTGACCTCTAGTGGTGGATAGTGGAGACAGTTATTCAACATCCACCCAGCGTTTCTGCACTGAACATTTACCCTTAAGGAAACCCAGACCCAGAAGTTTCCCTTCTCCCCAAATGGAGCTTTATTAAGTAATGAGTTCTTTCCTGGTTTTTAGGTCATCGAAGATCCATTCCCATATTTCCGATATAACAAAAGGATAGAAACTGGATGCTTTATTTATGCTGTAAAATTCCTTGTATGATTTTAAACTGTGGCAGTAGCTGTAGGAGCCTGACTGTAATATGCAAGCTTTTAGAAATCATTTTTCTAGGGAAGAGAGGATTCTCAGATAATAGTACAATTATACAACAAACCTCCTTTGGCTAATCCTGTATTATTTTCTGTGAAAGCATTTAAATAGGCCCAGGGAGGAGCTATGGGTGTGTGTGGGACCCTGATGCTGGAGACTAAGGATCTGGACTATGACCAAGGCTGTCATGGAGCCATCTCCTTCCTTGCTAAACAGGTCTTCTGTGCTGCAGGGACCCAGCACAGGTGGGACTCTGGTGCCCAAGCTTTGCTGACTTCTAGGACAGCCTTCTATCCCAGCACTAGGGCTGGGTGCTCGGCTTCTTCTGGAGTAGTTTTCATGAAAGGGGGGAGTGGGAAGGAAAGATAAAGAGGTAAAGAGACAGAGAGAGGACAGAAAAGAAGAGGGAGACAGGAAAAGTCCTGTCTGCCCCAAGGGGAACAGCAAGAAAGAGAGCGTAGTGGGCAGGGGTCTGCCTTTTAAAGGGGACCTTTGCACCTGCATACTGACCAGGGTACTGCCTGAGTGCGTTCTGCCATGTGACAGGGGCAGACCAGCATTATGCCTGAATCCTTAAAGTAGTTTTTCTCGAAACTCCCAAAGGGAACCTTCCTATTCAGGCTGAGTTTCTCTATGACTGACCCACTTCTGGTATCCCGATCTGGATTCTCAATGCAACCTGCACCACAGATTAAAGCTCTTTACCAGAGGGTGGGGATCCCAACTTTATGAAGCAATGGATGCCAAGGTTCAGGTTAGGTGTGTCTGAGGTGTGGGGGTTCCACCACAGTCTCTTCTAATCAGTACTTTTCCTCAGGTGACACGGCGCTTTGGAATCCCGGGGCTGAAGAAAACCATGGACTGGTTTGGCTACTATGGAGGCCCCTGTCGTGCCCCCTTACAGGAGCTGAGCCCTACTGAGGAGGAGGCCCTGCGCTTGGATTTCAGCAACAATGGCTGGCTCTGATGACAAACTGGAGACACCTCGCCTGAGCCTTGGGACTTCTGTTCCCAAAGCCTGAAGAGGAGCAGAGCATTCATTAGGAATTAGGGTTTGTCTTAGTCACTGTTCTATTGCTGGGAAGAGACACTGAGACCTTGGTAGTTCTTATAAAGGAAAGCATTTAATTGGGGCTGGCTTACAGTTTCAGGTGTTTAGTTCATTATCATCATGGAGGGAAGCATGGTGGCATGCAGGTAGACATAGTGTTGGAGAAGGAGCTGAGAGCCCTACATCTGGATCCACAGGCAGGAGGAAGAGAAAGCCATTGGGCCTGGCTTTTTTTTTTTTGAAAACTTCAAAGCCCGCCCCCAGTGACACACTTCCTCCAATGAGGCCACACCTCCTAATTCTTTCAAATAGTGCCACTCCCTAAGCATTTAAATGTATGAGCTTATGGGGCCAATCTTATTCAAACCACCACATTCCACTCCCTGGGCCCCCTAGACTTATCACCATATTATAATACAAAATGCATTTAGTCCGCTCTCAAAAGTTCCCATAGTCCATCACAGTCTCAAGACTGCTAAAAAGTGCAAAGTTCAAAATCTCTTCTGAGATTCATGGCATTCTCTTAACTGTAACCCTCTGTCAAATCAAAATCAAAAAGCAGATCACATACTTCCAACACACAGGATATTCAGTACCATTCCAAAAGGGTGGAAAGGGAGCTTAGTGAGGAAATACTGGGCCAAAGCAAGTCCGAAAATCAGATGGATAAACCCCAAACTTTGCGCCTCCATGTCTGATGCCAAAGCATGCTTCAGATCTCCAACTCCTTTCAGCTTTGTTGACTGCAACACAGTTCTCTCTCTTGGACTGGTTCTGCCCCCTTAGCAGCTCTCCTCAGCAGGTAACCCATGACTCACCCAGACTTCACTTTCACAGCTCCATGCAATGGCCTCTCTGACACAGGTCTGGCCCTAGTGGCTTTCCTTGGGTGAGGAGGGAGAGTCCACAATGCCTTTCTTGTATCCTTGATTCTAAAGTCAGAACTATGTGGCTGAAGCTGCCAAGCTCTGCTGCTTGATGGGGCTGGAACTTGTCCTCCTCGTTCAAATACATTTTCATTAACATTCTGTTTTTGATGGGTTTCTTCGCTGTGTCAGCTTTTCTTTAATTATGTCTCACAAGTTGAAAGCTTAGGAGGGTGGGACAATTTCTTGTTCCTTCTGTGGGCATTTCTCTTCTGCCCTAAGGTGGGTGAACCAGGGAACCTAGTGAAAGGGTAGGGAGTGTATCTAGAAATCAAGGAAGTTGGTTACTGAAGGGACCGTTACATTACTTCTGACTTGTGCATGATGCGGCTGGGGAGTTGGGGATGACCCTAACTGTCTACATTCTGACTCCTTCCAGAGGAAGCAGTCACATGGGAAACCTGATCAGAATGTGTCCCTTGTTTTTGAAAAGCCTCCAAGCAGCATTCCAGCCACAAGGCCCTCTCTTAACACACATGTCATACAGTCTTATCTCTAGCTTTGATCTCCACCATTTAGTGACCAAGATAGCCTAGTGCCTTGTCACATTAGAAAATAATGACACTTGGTGGATAGACACCTGTCTACACTTTAGAAGACTTCTGACCAGCACAGGTATGAATCTTGGGGACTTGGACTGAGAGGGATCATGCTTTTCTCTTGTCTAAAGACACTCTACTTTTATTATTGAAATGGATTACTTTGTTACTATAATAAAACATAACAAGTGAAACTTAAATGCTTCTGCAGTAGATTTCCTGGCCAGATGCCAAGGACCTTGCTAAAGGCAGCAGAGCCTGAAGGATGGTCCTTTTCTCACCACTGAGAGAAGCCTTAGTAATTCCAATCAAACAGCCTACTATTAGAGGGTTAGCCTAGGAAAGCTTAATGATTATTTTTATTGTGTATGCATGTGTAATTACTCATGCAGGCAGTGTGGTGACCAGTGACTGATCTCAGGGAGTCCTCTATCACTCACTGTAATTTTTTCAGACATGGCTCTGTCGTTGAATCTGAAGTTTGTCATTTTGGTCATACTGGCTGGATGCAGGTATCTGGGCTCTGCTTGTTTTTATTCATAGTGCTGGGTTACAGGCATGCGCCACTTCATCTGGGTTTTGTTTTGTTTTTGAGACAGGGTTTCTCTGTAGCTTTGGAGCCTGTCCTGGAACTAACTCTGTAGACCAGGCTGGCCTGGAACTCACAGAGATCTGCCTGCCTTTGCCTCCTGAGTGCTGGGATTAAAGGCATGTGCCACCAATGCCAGGTCCTCATGGTTTCACAAGTTGGCTCTTGGGCTTCTTTTATACTCACCTTCCAGAGCAGTGGGGCTTATAGACTACATTTAGGCCCGATGGGAAAAAATCTAGGCCTGAGACAGGCAGCCTAGAAAGCTGTCTGAGAGCTCAGACTCCAAGCTTCAAAAGCCCCAATCCCTGATGTCTATGGGGCCTTAGGGTAGCTCCCTAATTTTCCTGAGTCTCAGCTGTAATAAACCTTTTCCCCAGACCTATGGGGGAGACTGAGATAAGAACTGTAAATAAATGAGCTAGCAGGGTGGGAATGTTCTGCTACCGGGTGCAGAAAAAGGGAAACATGGGCAGCAGTTGGTCTTGGGGCTTGTATACACTGATGCTCAATCAAGTGGAAGAAGGGAGCTGGACTCACAAAGAGTAGGCTCGAGAAATCCTCTGTGTGTGTGTGTGTGTGTGTGTGTGTGTGTGTAGCCATAGGTCAACTTTCTGTGTTCTTCAAAAGCTATTCGTTTTGGTGCCTGGGCCTGCTAATTAGGCTAGGCTAGGCTGGCTGGATAGTTCTGCCCCAGGGATGTTCTTTTGTCTCTGAATCCCTATATTTGGGAGGAGAAGCATACACAGCCATGCCCAGCTTCTCACATGGGTGCTGAGGATCAAATCAGGTCCTTATGCTTGCATAGCAAACGTCACTCACTGGCCGCTTTCTCCAGCTTACCACAGGGGTACTGAGAATCAGGCATGCAGCAAAGTGCCAGTGTTAGCTCCAAGCATCTCTGTTTAGTGATATTCATGAGGCCCCAAATCCAGAAAGTCATGAACACTAAGTGCAGGCAGTTGTAGTGAATGGTTTATTCCTATGAACACTTGTTTCTACAGTACAGTTCAGGGAATAGAGGCACACAGCTATGATTTCCACCAGTCTGCTGTTGAGGGAGATCTGAGGATGGGAGCTGGGCCAACTGGAGACCTGGGATTATTTTGGCAGGAAGATCTGTCCCGGGCCTGAGGGCCAAGACTCCTGCTTGAGTGAAATGGAGGAGCCAGTCAGTTCACATGAGAATGGAGCCAAGTCTTCCAACACCCAAGGGGCTGAGAGTCTGATTCATTGATGCACTGGGAAGGAACTCTCAGTGCAAGCCTTCCCTGGGATTCAGGTCATCCCATAGGAGGCCTGGATAGGTCCACCCCTTGCCCTGGGCTGAATAATGAGTGTAGGTCATAGATACTCTTACACTGGTTTCTTATTTGGCTAGTCTATGACGGGATCTTGTCTGACATCTAAGGGAGAGAGGCACAGATGGGAACTGGGCTATCTGCTGTAACTCAGGTAAGGAAGACAGTTTACTGTAAAGTTGAGCGGGAAGAAAGTCACACTCTTACACTGAGGGGGTTAAGAAGACACAGAGACTAGCCTGGAGCCAGGCCTCCAAATGCAGAGAATGAGGGGGTAAACACAGACAAGCTCTGGCCTGGGCTTTACAGAGCTGCTGCGGTCTTAGACACCCCTGTCTTTTTCCTGATTTCTCCATGGCAGCACACAGGACTGGCCCTAAGCTGAAGCCAGGATCATCTGCCATAAGGGTAGGTGGATTGAAGAGATTCTATACAGTTTGACAGCAGATAGAGAGAAGACCACATCACCGGGTGTATCAAGGTTCTAGAAACGGAATAACAGCAAGGAAGAAAGGGTGGTCCCTGTTCTTGAGCAAATAAGGGTCAGGGAAGGACAGAACTGCTTCAGGGTCTTGGGGCCAAAATCCTCCACGCTTTTCTGCGACCAGACTCCTGATGGACAGGTGACAGCGCCTCACAGGCTGTGGTGTCACAGTCATCATCTCATATCCGGTTCATTGGTTCACCCCCCATGAGCGAGGGATGTTTCCAGCCGTGCTCAGAGCTCCATCAGGCAGCGAGATTCCTGGCTGACTTGGAGGCACTCTGCGCCCGCTGAACCACAGCAGAGCATTTCTCACGCCGCCGAAGCTTGTTGTTCTCAAAGAGACCTTCGTTTCGGGGTATTCCGTGAGAACCGTCGGGGAAAGTCAGCAAGCCTTTGAGGAGGGCAGAGAGAACGAGAAGGCATTAATGTTTCGGGCCAGCTCCATGTGGAAGAAGAGAAAAGGGACAGACATGGTCACCACAGATTGCTGGAGAGTCACAGAGAATTCAGGATAAGGAGGAGTGCTCTGGCCACGTTACACTAAATTGCCATCCTACCAAGTTGAAACTTACCAAAACCGTCTACTCTGCCATTTTTAAATTCCCCCTCAAAGGTCATGTTGTCATAGCGAATGAAAACTCCGACGCCATTAAACTTGCCCTGGGCAAACTCCCCCTCATACCTGCCGAGACACCAAGATGTTAGTTAGCTTTAGTGGGTGGGTTAGCTGTCCAGGGTAACTGAGGCACACTGTTAACAGTGTGTGTGAGTCAAGGCACAGAGCAAAGCTTATTCCGCCCATCCCCCAGCTCTACCTGTGCCTCTTTATACCATCCCCCAGCAGAGAGAGGAGTCACAAAGGCTGATACATGAGGGCTTAATTACAGGAAAAGAACTGAAGTGAACGGAGGTAAAGTAGAAGCTCACTCACCTTTCTGTCATTTCCAGTTTCACAGCTATTTGATGTGATACATTTGTTTAGAGCCAGAGTGTTGCTGTGTAGCCCAGGTTGGCCTCAAACCCAAGATACTCTTGCCGTTGCCTCCCCAGGGCTGAGATTACAGACATAGGTCACCATACTTGGCTCCTATATCTATTTTAACATGAAAAGGGCTGGCAAGATGGCTTGTAGGCAGAAAAAAACCTGTCTCCATGCCTGGTGACCTGCATTAAGTCCCGGGGACCCACATGGTGGAAAGGGAAAACTGTGACTTTTACATGTGCTATGGTGCACCTTTTGCAAATAAATAGATAGATAAAAATAAAAGAAAAAGCAAGGTAACCAATCAAAGAACCCCTCGTCTGTTCTCTTTAGGGCCTGGGCAAGCTCAGGGCTGAACAGACTGTCACCCATGCCGTACTTTTTTTCCCTTTAAATCAGAGTCTCACTGTTTCAAAAGACTGAGAAAGGAAATGACCTAATACTTACCTTGAGCCATCCGAGAAGGTCAGTACCCCAAAGCCATTAAAGAGCCCATTCTCAAAGTGACCCAGGTAGGTGCCACCATCTGCAAACATCAGTTGACCAAAACCATGTCTTCGGCCTGAGCAAAGAGAAGGACAGGGACCAGACTGGAATGGGGCGGCTTTTTTCCCACTGGCTCAGCAGTCCACACTTGACAGTGTTACCCACCAAAACACCACCCTTGGCCTGTGTGTGTGGACAGCCTGGACTCCTCGGGGCCCAGGCCTGGCCACAGTGTGAACTGCCCTTGGCCTCCGTGTGTGTGGACAGCCTGATCTCCTTGGCCATCTCATGGTTGGCTAGGACTGGGGCTGTGAGACTCTAAAGTGTCCAGGCTGAGTTTCCAAACTGAACCATTAAACTTCTGGCGTGGTTTCTAGCATACTTCACAGCTCCAAAGAATGTTTGCTATTCCTAAGAATAGATTACTTCCAAGCATAAAAAGCTGTCACAGGAGACTCAAGGCAAGGATTGTCACTTGCTGTTGAGTGTCTTTGCTAATTCCCAGATCCTCCTCAACTTCCGAAGACTCACTGCAATGAAGACGCTGCAGTGAACCTTAAGCTCTCCAATTTGCACCAGAAGAATTAATTTGCTCTTCTGGGTCCATTCACATTTACGGCAATAGACCGTGTTAAAGCGCTATAAATCCAGAAGGGGGAGACTGAACTCATTTCATCAAGCTCATTTTGCATCTCCTATGTGGAGATGAGTCCTGCAGCAAGGGATGAAGATGCGCGAAGTAGGCTGCCCCAGGGGCCCGTCTCTTCTCACCCTCCTTCCACTCGCCGCGGTATTCCTCCCCACTGGAGTAGGTAAAGGAACCTTTTGTCAGGGTCATGGTGGTAGCTTACAGAAGGGAAGGATGGCAACTGTAAGAAACAGAGAAACAAGCATCACACCACGGCTTGAGGACTCAAGGCTGTGCTCTGAAGGGCACACTACCTTAGGTGCACTTAAGAAAACACTCTCCTTGCCTCCCACCACATCTGCTAAAGCAGGCTTAGGTCTGCTTCTCTTAAGTTTTCAGCCAGCTTCTGTTCCTTCGACCTGGGATGGAAATGGAAGGTAAATATGCAAATATTTACTGATGTCTACTATGTGCTTGGATGTCTAAAACAGAGTCCCCGCAATGAAGTTAAAATATAGTTGATAAGCTCAGCAGGTGAAACACCAAACTATAGTAGAGACAGTGTAATTCCATGCCTGCTCAGATGGCAGATATTAGCAATTACAGGGGTGAACAGCCCTCAACACAACCACCGTTCATGGCTGTGATCCCAGCACTTGGAAAGCAGAGGCAGGTGGGTCATATGTTCAAGGTCATCCTCAGCTACAAGAAACCAGTCTGGAAGTAAGAAACAGGAAAACCAAAATTGCACAGCACAGAAAGTAAAAGAGTAACAGGGGGGCTAGCGGAGACAGCTTATTTAGGGAGCGATAGATACAGATGACCTGGTGTTTTTAAAGAACCTCACAGATGTAGTACCAACTCCCTTACAATTATAGGTGAAGAGACAGAAGCTCGGAGTGGTTAAGTTTTTTGGTGGTGCTGGGGAGATGGCTCAGTGGTTAAGAGCACCTGTTGCTCTTGTAGAAGACCCAGCCTTCATTCCCAGTTTCACATGGTGTTTTACAGCCATCCAAACATCAGTTCCAGGAGATCAGACACCTCCTTCTGACTTCTGTGGATATCAGGCAAGCACATGGTGCATGTACATACCCACAGGCAAGTATTTATACATATAAAAAAATCTAAACAACATTAAACCAAAATTTTGTTGGTTGTTGAGCAGGGACAAGCACACAGCAGGAACTGATGATGCTGGCCCTCCTCCTTCCTTCATGTTGAGCCTCTGGTTTTAGGTCAGACCAGTTCATGGCACTCTCCGAGGACTATAGCAGCTAAGTTAGGGAAAGAGAGGGTCTGGCATGCAACAAGGATTGTAATAGGATGAAAGCTTATGGAAAAGGAATGTGACACCAGGAGGGGTTGGAGGAGCCGAATCCAGTCGGAGAAGCCTGCAAGGAAGGGATAGCTTCTTACCAGGAGACAGACTTGCCTCAGTCTGGGTTAGCTGTGTGCAGTACTCCATCAACGGAGTGTTACAAAGATGGTAATGCAGATGTGTCAATGCAGAGGTTTGAGAAGCACCAGACTTGCCCTGGGCTGCACATAGCCTTGTTCTGCTTCCAGGGCATGAGTTCAGACCAACATTCTAGATGAGGCAGGTCATGTGGAGCGATTGTCCCAGCTGACCACAGAAATATGAACTCAGCAAGGCCTAGGGGGCTGCCCTCTGAGCCTAGCCCCATGGTAATGACTCACAGTTTCATTGGGAAAAGAAATAATAGTTGTTTCAAGCCACAGTGTTTTAGAGGTGTGTTTATCACCCAGTAAAAACTGATATATTCATGTGAGTGGATGATGGTGGGCATATAATATAGTGAGAGCAGAAGACATGCTATGATAAATATATCAAAAAGCATTGGGGACTAGTGGGTGGTAAAAAAAAAATTGTATTCAGGGGTATCTCATTTGAAGAGCAGATGAGCAGGGCATTCCTGGCACACACCTTTGATCCCAGCACTTGGGAGGAAGAGGCAGGTGGATCTCTGTGAGTTTGAAACCAGCCTGATCTACAAGAGCTAGTTCCAGGATAGGCTCCAATGCAATACAGAGAAACCCTGTCTCAAAAAACAAAACGAAACAAAAACAAACCAGGACAAAACAAAGAAGAGACAGATGTTCAAGATATTAAGCATAAATGGAGACAAACAGAATCAATAAACAATAGAAATATTTTTCAATTTTCTAGATCTTCTTATTCACCCCTTCATCTTTCTGTGTTTAAGCAATACAATGTTTTCTCAAATGATAAAATGCAGATTCATAGGCACAAACAAACCTATTGAGTCAGAGTCTGATGTCAACAGGACAAGTGCATCTTTTCTTGGGAATACAGGGACTAGGTCTACTGCACAGAGCTGGAGAGGACCCTTAAATGCTTGTGAGCCTGGTGCCAGTGACCAGTTTCCTTTCCTTTCAGGTCACAAAGAAACTGAAACTCTTATCATCAGTCTAGTATCAAGGCAGGCTTGGGTAGAGGTCAATGCAGCGTCTCAGCAAATACAACATTAATGAGAGGAAGATAAGAAGTGTTTCATAAGAATTTCAAGAGAGAACTCTTTACAGCAGAGCTAAGGTATTCTGATAGCTATAGATCATCAGTAGCTCTTTCTAGAACTAAATGAGTTAATGGTAGTCAAAGTCAAAGGATGATAAACATGCTGGGCATGGTGTCACATGTCTTTGATCCCAGCATTCTATAGACACAGGCCAGCTAGGGCTATATATGAGACCTAGTGGTAAAAACAAAACCCCCAAATTGCAACATAACTTTTCAAATCACACCCACAAGAATCTAAAGAACTCTCTCTCTCTCTCTCTCTCTCTCTCTCTCTCTGTGTGTGTGTGTGTGTGTGTGTGTGTGTGTGTGTGTAGTGTGTATTTGTTGTTCTGAGACAGGGTCTCTTAATGAAGTCCTGGCTAGCCTGGAGCTTACTATGTAGACCAGACTGGCCTTGCATTCAGAGAGATCCTCCTGCCTCCTGAATACGGGGTTTATGACATGTACTACCAAGCTTGGCTGAAGAACTTATCTTTGAATCTGTCACTAGACTTAGAAGATCTTAGGACGAGGGCATTTTCTTTAGTGGTGGTTAACCGATTCCTCTTCACTTTGCTGAATGGGTACACAGGGCTTCAGAGGGACAATACTTTTGCACCTATTCACTTTTCCTAAAAGCTACATGGAACTTCCAGAGTGGCATCTCACCTTGTTCCACAGGGATCAGGGGAAAAAAAAGAAATATTTGAGGATTATCTATGAACAAAATAATAGCTATGAACTTAAGTTGAAAATTTACCTATTCGTCGTCGTCTTATTATTTTTTTTGTATGCTGTTATTCTCTTGGGTCGATATCTTAACTATTTTAAGGAAAGTGATAGAATTTGAGATTTTACTTTATTTTTAAAAAGGTTTTATTTATTTATTTATTTATTTTATGAGTGCTCTATCTGTATATTTGCCTGTATGCCTGAAGATGACCTTGGAGTCCATTATAGGTGTTTATGAGCCACCATGTGGTTGATGGGATTTGAACTCAGGACCTCTGGAAGAAAAACCCAACACTCTTAACCGCTGAGCCATTTCTATAGCCCCTGAAAACTTTTTTTTTTTTTTAAATTACCAAATGTGGTAAAGCACTTTTTTAAAAGTGCTTTAAATTTATGTGTATGTGTGTGAACCTGCAGGAGTGTATGTATATTACATGTATGCAAGAGCCCATGAGTCCAAAGGAGGGCTTTATATCCCCTGGAACTGGAGTTACAGACTGCATTTTCATTTTCTAAAGACATTTGCAAAGTCTCCCTAAGTTTGATCAGACTTGGACTGCTTTAAATATAGCACCGTGGAAGTGATGTTCATCATAAATGTTCATTCTGCTTATTGATAGACCCATATCTCGAACCCTGAGCCACATTCTAATAACACCTGACTGGAGACAGTGAACAGCGAGGTGGTTCAGCAGGTAAAGGTGCCGGCCCCCAAGACTGACAACCAGAGTTTGATCACTAAACCCACAGAGTGGGAGGAGGGAACTTTCTTCAGCACGTTGTCCTCTGACTTCCATAAGCATACCATGGCATGCACACATACACACAAACAAATAAGAAGGTGCATAAATTAAAAATGTTACTTTAAAAATACTATCTGGAGGGGCTGGAGAGATGGCTCAGAGGTTAAGAACACTAGCTGTTCTTCCAGAGGGCCTGAGTTCAATTCCCAGCAACCACATGGTGGCTCATAACCATCTGTGATGAGATCTGGTGCCCTCTTCTGGTGTGTAGATATACATGCAGGCAGAACATTGTATACATAATAAATAATAAATCTTTAAAAAAAATACTATCTGGAGGTTCCCAAGTAACAAGGAAGCCAAGTCAGTTACAGGTCATGTGTTGTTGCTCTAGTTGGCATCCTCATTTTTTAACCATCTTGGATTAGGCAGGCACGAGGCATCAGCGAAGGAGATGACAAATGATTCCAGCTCCCAGACACTGAACCCACATCTCATCTGAGAAACTATGGAACAAAGAGAAGACATTTCCATGATGTTAGGCCCAGATTCTTGGCCCACAGAACGTCATGGGGTAGTTTTAAGTTGCCAAGTGTTGGGTTAATTTGTTATTTAGTGATAGCAAACTACACACCATCTGTCAACTGCTCCTGCCAACATTCTGTGCTGTTTTTCAAGAGTATGTATTACCAATTTCCATTCCTATTTATCTAGAGAGATTTGGTAAGTTCAGGAGTTGTTTGTCAAAACCATATCCAGTCTCAAGAAGCAAATCAGAAATGCTAATCAAAAGGAACATATGTAGAATTTATGGGTCTCAGGTTATAGCTGGATACATTTGGCTAGAAACTGCTACATGTGTCCAAATAGTTGTTACAGTCACTACCTGGGACAGTGTTTGAATTAACTTAACTCTCCAGGGTAACAGTCAACTGCACAGCCACAAGGAGGAGAGGGGATTTCATCAATAACCATGATTATCTATAGTCATTGGGACAAATCTAGTTTAGAAAGGTGCATGCAATAGTAAAAAAGATGGAAAAGCCCGACGCTTTCATAAGGGATGAAAATAGTGTTTACATTACTTGTGCATATAATCTTGTGGAGAGTAGCTCTAGGCTTTAGATATGCACAAGGAATCGAGTCACAAACCGATAAGATTCACATTCCTACAGACACTTACCCTTTCTGTACTCATGATAGACAAGCTGCAAAAGAACAAGTCAAACATAACCTAAAATTACTATTTTGTGTCTGTAATCCACTATCCTATTTCTCTGCAAAAGAAAACATAATCTTTGCTGTATTAATTTTTTTTCTACCATAGACAATTCCAAACAGTTTTAAGACAGTGACAAGAATTTTTTTTTCTGTTTGTTTTTGTTTTTCTTGAGACAGGTTTTCTCTGTGTAGCCTTGGCTGTCCTGTAACTCACTTTGTAGACCAGGCTGACTTCACACTCACATAGCTCTGCCTGCCTCTGCCTCCCGAGTGTTGGGATTAAAGGTGTGTGCTGCCACCATTCAGCTGCTTTCATTTCTTTTAAAAATGTTTTACATTTATGCATATGTGAGTGAACTTTCATGAGTGTATCATACTCATACTACATGTATGCAAGAGGCAATGGAAGCCAAAGGAAGGCTCATACCCTCTGAAACTGGAGTTGCAGGAGGCTGTGAGCCACCGTGTGGGTGCTGGGGACTGAATCCTGGCCCTCTCAACTGCTGAGCCATCTCTCCAGCTTCTCATTTGTTTCTCTCTCTCTAAATCAAGCTTATGAAAGACCATTTATGTATTTATCACAGTAACTTTTGTCTAAATTAAAAAGTTTTGTTTGTTTCTTTTTTGAAAGAGGGTATCTCTATGTAGTCATGGCTGACCTGTAACTTGCTCTGTAGACCAGGCTGGCAAGAGAGATCCACCTGCCTCTGCCTCCTGAGTTCTGGCATGCTCCATCATGTCCATCTTAAATTAAGAAGTTTTAAAACAAAATAACAGCAACCCCTTTCCCAACCTAAGAACATTTATTTCCCAGTTAGAGACGATTTGTTTGGGAGCAGCCACCTTCATGACCCACACATCTCCAAAGGACAAAGCCACCTTTCTTAAGTAGGCAGTCTTACACAAGTTCTTTTAGTTATTATAAAGAAAGCAACCATGGGGTTTTAGAGCCCTAAGAGGAGAAAGCTGTGATGAACAAAGATTATGAAACCGGGATACTGTTTGAAGTGAAAATGAAATAATTAGGTTTTTAAACTTATAATTATAATCTCCCTTCAATTTAGAAAGTAAGCAATGGCATTGTTAGTGCAAACAGGTCTTACTTGGGAAGAATGTGGGATACTTAGATTCAAGAAGGTAAGAAGAGAACACTGATACCAGAAAGGGTTTTTTGTTTGTTTTTTGAGATAGACTTTATCCTGGAAGTTGCTCACTCTGTGGACCTTGAACTCACGGAGATCCTCCTGCTCCTGCCTCCTGAGCGCTGAGATTAAAAGTGTGGACCACCACCACCAGGCCAAAATGGGTTCTAAAAAGATGATGGGGCCACAGAGAGTCATGGGCTCTTGGGAGTAATATTGTCACAACACTATTCTATGTCAGAGAATGCCTGGGACAGGCTCTAATTAAACGAAGTTACTTTGGTTGGTACCTAAGCAGTTCGTGGATGCTGGATGCTTAGAAGACACCAGCCAAGTAACCGAAACAACCCATTCCCCAAGCCTCAGTCCGTGGGTCCTTTTTCTACCTGTGGCACAGACATCCCAGATCAAGCAAAGCCCTAGACCTTCACCAGACAACCCAGTGCACCCCCACGCTGCATTTCCCCCCTTCATTTCAGTCTGGTTCCATACTTCCTGGGGTCGGCTCCCACCCCACAGTCTCTTCAGCTCTCACAGGTCTGACATTCCCTCCAGACACAGCACGGCACACCCCTCTCCATAACCAGTGCCCTGTGTTTTCCAGAGCTACGATGTCGGGGTCGAAACTCCAAACCCAGGCTTGGGACCCCACCCGCAGCCACCTTCTGGTCAGTACAGCCTGGACAGAGGCGCACTCCTCAGCCCGGGTCACCTGCTTGACGCCTCTGTTTCCACTTTGTGGACCACACTCCCGCATCCTCCTCCCACCCGCGCCACGGGCCAACCTGAGCTTAGCCTCTTGGGGACGACCGTCACGCCCCGACGCGACGCGGGGCTCCAGTGGCCAGGATCTTTGCTCTTCTGGGCTCCCCACTGACAATTTCCCCTCCACCACCTCCACCCGCCTCAGTCCCACTGGACGCCGCCATCCCTGATGCCGCACTGGGCACAATTCCCGCTGTTCATTGGCTGTTACCTAGGCAACCGCGAGCAACGCCACTCTCCATTGGTCCACTCTTCTTCCGTGCCATCTTTGTGAGGGGACGAGTGTTTTGGGAGCCTGGGCCAAATATCTGAAAGAGGGGTGGGGCTGAGCCTTCTGTCTCATCTCAATCAGCCAAACAGAAAAGGAGGATCCAGGTTTCATCTCTCTAGAGACTTCCAGGCCGAAACTTTAATCCCATGTAAGGCCGAAGGTGTGTCCAAATGGCCACCAGCTCAAGAGGTTCTTATCTTTATATTCATAAACAGCTCCACCGCTAAATAAGAAGAGAGGACCTAAATCTAGCTTTAGAAGTCAGCTTTATAATTAGCAAGACGCTGCACTTTAGCATTCATAGGGACTCATTATGACCCACATCCTTTGTATTTAAAATATATTGCCATTATTGGAGCAAATCTGTCAAAATACTGTTCCCAAATATACAAGTGGCCATATGTTTGTTTACTGAATCATGTGCAGCATGATGTCAAGTTCTGACAGGCTTGGAAAGCCGCGGTCATTGTTGTTTCTCTCATGGGACTTCTTATTGCGAGACAAAGCAAATTGCTTCAAATTGCTTTTTGGATTGGGATTTCTTCATCCACAGGTTAGAAAACGATAATGATGACAATAATAATGCCTTTTCAGGACTTGTATGAGAACACAATGTAAAAGGAATAGTGGTTTGAAGTTATTTTTTTAAAGATTTGTATTCTGTGTTCAAATTCCATCTCTGCTATTAATTGTATATGTTTTTGAGTAACTTATTAAGCTCTCCAGCCTGTAAAATGTGATTGGACCAATAGATTTAATATGGTACTAACACTCAATTGATAATATCAGCTAAGTGTGGAATCAATTGTAGATTAAACTGTAGTCACTGAGGGAAGGAATGTAAGAAAAGAGAGATTATTAGAATTCATGTTAGAAATATGAAGAAATTAGATAAAATCATAGCCTGTATGAGGCTGATTCATGGAAAGACTTGTAAATTAGCAAGAATTTTGCAAATGTAGTTTCTTTGATCAGCAAGATGGCTTGTTAAGTACAGGCAAACTAATTTGTCTCCTTAGGATGCAGCATCCAACATCATAGCAGTTATATTGGCATTTAAATGAGTTCATCCATGTAAAGTACTTAAAACAATGCCCAGTACATAATTAGCACTGGGTAAGTGCTAGCTCTCCATATGTATTAGGACATGCTTTGACATGTTTAAGTAAAAGGGCAATCAAGTTCTAAATGGTAGATAAGAAACAGCTGGGTGTTGGTGGCCCACACCTTTAATCCCAGCACTTGGGAGGTAGAGGCAGGCGGATCTCTGTGAGTTTGAGGTTGGCCTGGTCTACAGAGCTAGTTTCAGGACAGGCTCCAAAGCAATACAGAGAATCCCTGTCTTGGAAAACAAAAGAAACAAACAAACGAACAAAGAAAAAATAAAGCCTGAGGGGATTTCTATAGAGAAACCTCAGAATCCTATGGAGAGCTCTGAATCCTGGACCTTTTCTTGCCCATAATTTTAACTCCACAAGCTAAATGAGATAGCGAATACTATACATCGTTTCCATGGTTCTGAGGACACACAAAGCAGACATCACTGCATTAGTTACCACTGAAAGGCCAATGGAACTCTACACAGATCTTTGCCCAGGATTGTTTATTTTATTTCTTATTGTGCTGGAGTTGGACACATGACCTTCCATATGGTAAGTAAACTATCTACCACTGAGCTATTCTCTCAGTCCTAGATGTGTTCGTTAAAAAAAATAAATTCAAGATATTCTCATAATACAACCAAACAATAGGTCTTTCAATTTAATACTTCTAGTGATTTGGAGCAATAATTTGACTCTAGAAAGTAGTGCAAGGTGAGATGGCTCAGTAGGTAGACCCTTACCACTAAGCCTGACAACTTGAGTTTGATCCCTGGAACTCACATAGTAGAAGATGAGAACCAGTCATTGTTCTCTGACCTCCATGTGATACATACACACACAATACATACATACACACAATTAATTAATTAAGGCATGATTATAAAATACTGGTGATCATGTGGTTGGTTGTCTTCTGTGAAAACTCTTTGTTCTACCTGCTGGTGCTTCTGAGGAGAAAACAAAAAATAATGTGAACAATAATCTCAGCAGTGATGAAAGGGACATCTGTGGAGGGCTTTTTTTATCTACCAATGCTTAATGCGTTACTTATAGAGTCTTTTTAAAATGTCAAGGGAGGTAAGGGTGATTAGTCCCATTTTATGGGGAGGAATTTTAGAAATTACCATCTTAAAATTGCTAATCATTTATAGAACAGAGTTTAACTTTACATGTTTCTGATCTCCAAGCCCATGTTTCTTCTAAGCATTACACTCTACACTTTAACTTTATTAATCACTTTTACTAGTGAGAGTGCATGTGCCTCCCCCCCACCCCGTGGTGTGTGTGTGTGTGTGTGTGTGTGTGTGTGTGTGTGTGTGTGTGTGTGTGTGAAGGTAACAGAAGAGCCAGGAGAGGGTATCAGATCCCCTGGAGCTGGAGTGATCCATCTAATGTGAGTGCTAGGAACTGAATTCCATTCCAAGAGCAGGAAGTGCTCTTAACCATCCACCCACACAGCATCCATAGCACCCATTCTCCACTCAGTGTCTGGGTTTGGAGTGGGTATGCTCCACATCACATGCCTGCCTTCCTATCAAGCAAGCTGTTTCCTCCAAGGTTCTGGTACCCTTCATATGCCCTCTGCTGCTTCCCTCAGCCAAGTAGTCTGTCCTAAATAAGCTCTTCTTTTTCTCTGGCAATGTCTTATGTGCACGGTGTGCCTTTTCTCTTTTCTTCTCCCGTTAGTGATTCAGTTACTTCCTTTAGGAGCTGGCTGTTAGCATAGGCTTTGCATGCAGTTTTTGCTCACTGTCCAGCCTCTTCCCAAGTCTGCGAACTATTGTGGCTGTCTCTGGAAGGTGTTTATCCAGAGGACAGAGACACATTTTTTTCTTCTGTTTACTAATGAAAACGAGCATCAACTGTGTATAGATATTGATGTGAATAAAGACATGAACTTTTTATTCTCAAGGGGCTAAATAAAACTTGCCTTAATGATCAGATAAAGTATTGGGTCATTGGCTTAGACACTACGTTAAACCGCAAGAGAGTTGTGATTTTTAAGTTATTGAGATAGCATGGGGTGAACGGGGCATCTTTATTTCATTGTCGTCTTCTCAATTCTTTGAACATAGCAGGTGCTTAGCGACACAAAAATGACATTTTGCAGTTTCACAGCCAGTTCATGGTTGGCACTCAATTAACAAGTGACTAAGAAAGCTGCTATTAGGAAAGCGTCCTAACACCAGTCGGCCAATTGGAAGCTGGGGCGGGGCTAAGGGCAGAAGGTGTGCCTGACCCGGGTTTGTCTTGTAGAACATGCGCAGTCTTCACAGAAGGTGACGCAAAAGCTGTGGAGACCGTGGTTGCGTAGGCGCAGGTTCTGATTGGCCACCGTTCGAGCGCGAGGGGCCGTGCCTACGCGTCGCCAAGTAAACAGGGCAGGCTAGGGGAGGAGCTACGGAGGCACCGCGCTCTCATTGGCCCGGCGGGAGGTGGGGAGTGCCGCGGATTGGTCGCGGCCGCGAGCTCGCTGGAGTGGAGCGCGCCGGGTCCCCGAGCCGGCGGCCTGAGGGATGGACGAGACGAGCCCGCTAGTGTCCCCCGAGCGGGCCCAACCCCCCGAGTACACTTTCCCGTCGGGCTCGGGAGCTCACTTTCCGCAGGTACCGGGGGGCGCGGTCCGCGTGGCGGCGGCCGGCTCCGGCTCGTCTCCGCCGTCCTCGCCCGGCCACGACCGGGAGCGGCAGCCTCTGCTGGACCGGGCCCGGGGCGCGGCGGCGCAGGGCCAGAACCATACGGTGGCGGCGCAGGCCCAGGCTCTGGCTGCCCAGGCGGCCGCGGCGGCGCACGCTATTCAGACCCACCGCGAGCGGAACGACTTCCCGGAGGACCCCGAGTTCGAGGTGGTGGTGCGTCAGGCAGAGGTGGCCATCGAGTGCTGCATCTATCCCGAGCGCATCTACCAGGGCTCCAGCGGTAGCTACTTCGTCAAGGACTCTCAGGGGGTGAGCGCGGGGGCGCGGGCGAGGCAGGGACGGCGTCCCGGGACCCAGGAGAAGGGGAGTCGAAAGGGTGCAGAAGAGAAACTTCAGCGCCAGCACCTCCCCACCCCCACCCCCGCCCCGGCGGCATTGGAGATGCTTCTGGGGACTAGAGATGGGGAAGCCTCGCGGGATATAGAAATCAATCAGAACCTTTCTGATGGGGAAGCGTGAGCGGAAAATGAAAAGAGGAAATTGACCAGATACCGGGCAGACAAGTGCTGACCGATGCTGCTTTCCAGTCAGCTCCTTAGATTCAAACTACTGGCACAAGTATCCGGTCATAGCCTCCAGATTCGGGGCTTTAGGCCCATTTTCTTTCACCTTTTATTTATTTATCTTACTTTTGCCCAAAGCAGTACGTCCCTGTTCTGTGGGTTAGTTGATCCATCACGGGCTCTGAGGATTTACTTCCACCTTCTGTGTTGTGGGGTTGTCTGTACCGGGATCCCGAGTTTTTTATTAACAATCTTTGGTGACAGCGTGGGTGGACTCATCAGTGCCATCTGTCCTGGTAATTGCTCACTTCTGGGAAAAGGTTCACATCGTTGCTTATGGTTCCTCGGTTTAGAACGTGGAGCTTTAAATATAGGAGACTGTCTTCTGCCCTTTAATTTCTCCCTCAAGCTTATAAGCAGTTCTTACTGACCTTAATTTTGTCCTCTCCTTGTATACTAGAGGTATGGAAGTAGGAGGCATGAGGTGACCAGGGCAGCTGAGAGGTGACCTATTTTTATATGCATTAAAATAATGGGTGTTAAAATTGCCTCAAAAGTCCCTTGCATTTTTCCCCCCAAGATAACTTTTCTCT